CCTATTAAGTTCAAAATATCAATCTCAACCTCCACGATATGAATCATCTATCTCAAACATAATAAGTTTATATACAAGCCGAATTGATCACATCGCACCACAAAACACAAAACAACATTTATACAAGATCTAGCCAAAAGTGACTGTGAATGTGGGAGACTGTAATTAACAGACTAAGCAGAACTGAAGAACGTTAAATTGTATAATAATAGTCTATGAGTCACAATTAGGCTTCTAATAAGAGGAATATGAATATGCATAGTTTAGTTAGTTAATAATTATACAATAAAAATATATGTATTAGTCCATAAATAGATCCCAACAGTTACCATTCATAATTCTCATCGGGATATAACATAGGGATTTTATGTGATTCTTATCTTTATTATGATACTTAAAAAAGCTTATTGTTATGTTTTAGAATAAAAACTACTAAATTATTCAGCTTGTCTTGGGCAATTCGACTATTGTCGAATAGTAAAGCTTGTCAAGTTCACATTCTTTTATAATTAATATCACAAAATAATCTTAGTTAAATGACTATTGAAAAACATAAAGTATACAACAGTTATTTTGTAATAGGATGAGATTCTACAATAGTATGGATCTATGATCTCACTGGAAATTAGCTATAGGACTTTCGTGTTTCGCAGAAGGTGTTTAACCTGCAGATCATTGAGCTAGTTGGGATATAAATGCATACTTCTGATGAACCTCTATACTAGATTGAAACAATTTTTTTTTAAAACTAAGATCATTCTGTGATATAAAATATAAAATCTAAATGCAATTTTCAGATTTATATTACTTACTTTGATTTAATGCATATTCACTTATCGTCGTATTTTTCTGTTCTTAATTTTAATTTGTCTGAATGATTTCAGGACATCTGACATCTCATATGGATAAATGAAACATATTTGAGAATAGTTTAAAACAGATTCCCGTGTTAATTCAGTTGATATTGTTTTATTTGAATCTTTCCATTGATGTTTAGGACTGAAATTGTTCAGTCTTTTATTGGTATATGTGCATACTTTGCATCTTTGCTTATAAGATTCCCGTGTTGTTTGACTAAACATGTTGTATAAATTTTGTAACCTTATCGGTATATGTGTTTTATCTACAAAAGTCTATTGATTGTATTTTAATGTAAAGAAAAAACATTTTTCTATCCAATGTTATGTATTGAGGAGATCAAGAAAATACCTCAGAAAAAATAATGCCCAAAATAGCTCTGAAAACTCTGAGAAACATCTTATCCAATCAGCATTCAATAGAAGCTTTGCCAAAAACATATAGAAAATGAAAAGTCATATATCGTGTTTCTAATTGAATGATTACCTTTATTAATACTATGTTTAGTAGTGTTTCAGAGTTTTTCGAAAGCTAAGGCCATCTAAAATACTGTAAAGTCTTAGATATTTTGTATATAAATGAACCTCCCATATTTCGTACCTTTTCTCTCGTGTTCAAGTTGCTGTGTAGATTTAGCCTGGGGGTTACTAGAAGAGTTTAGGAACCGAATCTAGCACGTAAAGAGCTTAGGAACTGTATCTAGAGTTTAATTAGAAGATTTATGAATATGCACTTCAAAAGTTTTGATATTTTCCGCTTGGCGGTAAAGAAGCTTTAAAAATGTCATATATTAAACAGAGCAAATACCTGAAAAAACGCTTCTGTATAAGTCGATGTTAGAGTGAAATGGAATTACTTAATTACTTACGACCGTTGCCCCTCGTGAAGGAGCATAAATCGTCGAACAGGATTCTCCAACCAACTGTCTTTGACGCTCTGTTCCAGTTCTTTCCAGTCATATTCAACTCCAGAGTCTTTCCTTAATTTCCTTTTCAGTTAGAAGCTGATTTGTTCTCTCTCACAGTAGGCTGTTGATAATGGTATCTGGTCAACAGACATTGGGTATCTTGCATAGACAACTCATCATAAATACTTTTACCCCTTTGATGATGGTTTTACTAGTTCTCCACGTTTCGACTTCGTGCAGTAGAACTGTTTTGACGTTCGTATTGAAGATTCTAACTTTGATATAGGTTGACAGTTGTTTTGAGTTCAACATGTTCTTCAACTATAAAAATATTATCCTTGATTTTTCACTCCTTGTCTTTACGTCTGCTCGAAATCATGGATCTACTAGAGTTAGACATTAACACCTTTAAGTGCCGGCTCAATAGTTTAGAGATTAAGTATTCGCGCGCGAGAACGAAAGTCTTGGATTTGAGTATTCTGTGAGTGATCGCGGATGCTCAATGCTGAGTTGTCCTACACTAGAATGAAACGGTGAACCAGTGCTTCAAGATTTTCAATGATCATCTAACTTATGAATTCAACGATTAAAATTACTGCAATCTTCACAAACCTCCATTCCGATTATATTTTTTTAGATGGACTAAATAAAGCATTTCTTATTTAGACCGTATAAGTTATTTAATCAGTCATTAATTAGACATCAAGATAAGATTTATTAACTTACAAAGACAGGAGATTTGATTATATGGTAAATTATTAATATACTTCTATGTAAATGAATCTTTACTACATTCAATATGCAGAAACTTCTCATTATGAAACCCGTAATTCCTCGGCACTGGTGAAACAAACTTATTCTAAATCATCTCTTTATATGAATTACTTTGCCTGTAAATTTTCTAGACTCTGGAATAACCTACCACAACATATCCGTACGATAAAATCACTCCCATTATTCGCTCGTTGCATCGATGCACACTGCTCTTCTGAAAATGCATTGAATGCTTTAGCACCTGTAAGTGTATCTCATTCCAAATGTGATATTATAGGAACTTTAAATGTTTAGCTATTTTTATTAGTGCATTCCCTAAGTAAAACCACTTACTTGCTGTCACTTTATCTTAACACCGTCCTCAGCAAGTTTAACTAATTTGAATAACATCAACAGTATATCACTGTGTCACATAACATACGCGTTTTGGTAGACCTGATTGACATATTTCGGTAATTACTTCTTTGTTGTTCCGTGCTCTCTGTTTTCGTTTTAATTTCTTTAGTTTTAGATAATTATCATTAATCCGATCTGGCACATGAAATGACCTTAATTACTCTGTTCCTAAAACAACAGGCTGTCCATTTAAGAAAAATTAAAAGTTTTCGGCTGATGCATTGGATCGCTGTAATACATGTACTACCTAAACAATTACTGAACTAGTATACTTAAAACGTTCTCTTATCACATGTTTGTTCTGTACATCTAATGATACTACTTATACCAAATTGATCATGCCCTAAACTGATGACGTGAATTTTGTAATTATTATTTTACAAGAGATTGAAGCGTCGTTTTGAGTACCATCCTATTTAAGTATTATATCCATACTATGAAAATTAGATTAAATTTTTAAAATTTCATTAAATGAATTAACTGTCTTGTATAATGCATATCGAATTATTGTTTACCCTTAAAACAATATCATACTGACTTAAGGCTATATCGAGGCATCTGCACAGGATAGCACATATTGCCAACATGAGACTGATCACTTGCAGTCCAAAATAACAATAGTAAGATACAAGTAAAACAATACCAAGTGAATTCAATATCATACTGATTGAGAGAAATACAATAACCAGATGAACTACAATATAGCATGAATTTCCGAATCTTTTTAACTAAGTTTGATAGAAACTACAGGAATTTAAGCTTATTTTTTTCGTAAACAGATATAAAGGTGTGAAAATATTTATTGTAAATACTGTAGTTTTGAAACACAAACTGACATTATTTAGGTAATCAATGGAAACCAGGTAGATATTTTATTCTAGTATGAGACGTTTTATAAATTTTCATCCAATACACTGCTAGGAATTGAACCTAGAACCTTCAGGTTCCGTGAGGGTTGATTAAAATTTGCACCACTATTTACATCTAAGGGTCTACATTTCAAAATTCAGTAAATCGATGACATTATTCTAGCATCATCCATTAGCACTAATAATATTTGTCTTACATCTAACATGACTGAACTACATTATAGTAATTTAATAGCTAAATTAATGAGTTAATTAAAACTGGACCACCATAGAAAACTTGGAATCACTGGACGATCGATTAAACCTAGTATGGTACTCCTAAGCAGTGCGCATCCACAATCGCGCACCGCGGGATTCAAACCTAGAACCTAGCGGTCTTGCTCGTGAACGCTTAATCTCTAGACCACTGAACCGGCATCCAAAGATACTGATGTCTAAGTTCAACCAATCCATGAAATTAAGCCACCGTCCACCATTGTCTTCAATCAGTTACTATCTCACATCAGACCCGGTTGAACTCGAATCGTCATTGCTTCTCACTAGAACTATAGGAAATATCTCTTGAAACCAGTCACTAGAGAGCATATGATAATGATTATTATGAGAAAGGGTTTTTTGGAAATTTTAGTAATTTTATAGTTGAATTCATGAGTCAATTAAAAAAAGACCACGATGGAAAACCTGAAAGCACTAGACGGCTGTTTCATCCTAGTATGGAACATTTCAGCAGTACGCATCTACGATCCCGCCCCGCGAGATTCGAACCCATGAGTCATCAGTCTTGCCCATGAACGCTTAACTTCTAGACCACTGAATCGGCATCCAAAGATGTTAATGTCTAACTAACTAACTAATCCATGAACATTATTAACTGAACTCTAGGAATAACCTCTTATGATTCATCACTAGTAAGTGGATAATGATTTAAATCTAGATATATACATAGTTTCATAGAGCATATTGAATTTTATAAGTTGTACAACATAAACTAAGTTTAAATAAACAACCATTAACCATTAAATAGAATTGAATATTAGAAATTTTATCTTACTAAAAATACCTTGTATATCACCGTTAGACAACCTCCATATAAAAATATTATTGAAATACCATAATAGTATTATGTATCATCATTATCACCATCATCATTAAAAGTGATTTAATATATAATCATAATTATTAGAACAATGTTATATCATTGTAAACATTTCAATGGATGATATATACATATTGATTTAATAAAGTTCACTAGTAATAGAATAGACGGATTACTCAATAAAGAAAACATATATAAATGAAATATCTAATCTATTGTCATTTAAATCTTAAAGTATACTAACCTTACAGTAAGTATAAAAATTACATTCTTACTAAATAAATATATATATATATATATATATATTATTATTATTATTATTATTATTATTATTATTATTTGTATATGTATATATATGATGTTGATGTAGCTTTCATTTCATTATTTAGATAGTTAGGAAACGTTAGACAAAAGTTAAGTCTTGATTATGATTGAATTGTTCAATAGTATATACATGTGATGATTGTAATTGGATAGAAAATAAGAATGTCAAAATCTGGTTAGGTAGTATTATAATCACCTTGGGTTGTTAATGAATGCTGACTTACTCACTTACTTACGGTTGTTACTCCTAATGTAGCATAGGCCATCGATCAGCATTCTACAACCTACTCTATCCTGGATCTTCATTTCTAGTTCTATTTAATGGTTGCTGATTTTTCACATGTCTGTCTTCATTTCTATACGTAATGTGCTTTTTGGTATTCCTCTCCTTCTTTGACCTTGAGGATTCCAAGTAAGAACTTGACTTTTGATGTAGTTGGATGCTTTCCTTAATGTGTGTTCTATCCACTTCCAGCACTTCTTTTTCCTGATTTCTTCCGCTAGGATCTGGTTTGTTCTATCTCACAATAGGTTGTTGCTGGTAGTGTTTGGCCAACAGGTCCGAAGTATTTTGCGTAGACAGATATTAATAAACACTTGTATCTTGTGGATGATGGCTTTCGTAGTTCTCCAAGTTTTCGCCCCATATAGTAGAACTGTTTTGACATTTGTATTGAAAATTCTGACTTTGGTGTTGGTTGACAGTTGTTTTGAGTTCCAGATATTCCTCAGTTTTGGATATGCTGCTCTTGCCTTGCCAATCCTCACCTTCGCATCTGCATCAGATCCGCTGTGTTCTTCCATGATGCTGCTCAGATATGTAAGGGTTTTTACATCTTCCAAATCTTCTTAGTCAAGTGTAATTCGATTGGTACATGCAGTTTTGTATCAGAGAATCTTGCTTTTCCCTTTGTGTATGTTGAGACCTACTGCTGCTGATGCTGCTGCTACACTGGTCGACTTCACCTGCATTTGTTGTTCAGTGTCCGATGGAAGAGCCAGATCATCTGCGAAGTCTAGATCGTGCAGCTGCATTCTAGCTGTCCACTGTATCCCATGCTCCCCCCAGATGTTAATGTCTTCATAATCCAGTCAACACCATAGAAAGAGAAAGGGTTAGAGTAAGCATCCTTGCCTGTCACTGGTCTTTACTTCGAACGAGTCTGTCAGCTGTCCTCCATGCACCATTTCGCAGTTTAATACATCATACGAATTCTGTATGATATTGAATATCTTCTCAGGCACGCCGTAATGTCGAAGAAGCCTTCATGATGTTGTCCTGTCCACGCTGTCAAATGCTTTCTCATAGTCAATGAAGTCGATATGCAGTGATGAATTACATCCAATTAATTGTTCCACAATGGTCCGTAGTGTTGAGATTTGATATATTCACGATTTATCCGAACGAAATCCGGCCTGTTGATCTCGAAGTTGGTCGTCTACAGAGTCCTTCATTCTGCTTAACAATACCCTGTTGAAGACTTTTTCTGTTATTGAAAGAAGAGTGATGTCCTTGTAGTTCTCACAGTTGCTGAGATCGAGTTTCTTTGGTATCTTGATAAAAGTCCTGCCTCCAGTCTGTTGCTACCTGTTCCTCATCCAAAATCTTGCTGAAGAGAATGTGAAGTATCCTTGCAGTTACCGCTACGTCTGATTTCAGTGCCTCTTATGGAATGTTGTCTGGTCCCACTGCTTTACCGCCCTTATTTTTTGTCTGATGGCCATGCTAATATCTTCGATTGTTGGTAGGCCAACATCCATTGTGAGGTCTGTAGTTGGTTTCAGTGGTGCTGTCCGATTCAACACTTCCTTGAAGTGCTCTACCGACCTGTTTCACTGTTCTTCAATGTTGGTGATTACTTTGTCTTCCTTGCTTTTTACTGATAGTTCCGATTTACGATAACTTCTAGCAAGCTTTTTTGTTGTATCATACAATTGTCTCATATTTCCTTCTCTTGCAGCCTTTCCCACTGTTATTGATAAATCTTCCACATATTTATGTTTGTTGGTTCTGATATTCCACTTCACTTGCTTGTTTTCTTCTGTGTATTCAGCTTGTGCCTTGACTTTCTCTGCTCTTGTTCGGCCGATATTGATTGCTGCCTTCATGTTCCTCCTTTCTTGAATCTTATTCAGTGTATCAACAGTAATCCATTCCTTGTGATGGTGCTTCTTGTGGCCCAGAACCTCATGACATGTTGTAGTGATTGCCTCTTTTATCTCCTTCCAGTTGCTCTCCATAGTAGTTCCTTCTCCACTGAGTAGATCATGAAAGGCCTGGAACCTATTGCTGAGGGCTGTCTTGAATTCATTGAATTTGTCAGTATCCCGAAGAAGAGCCATATTAAACTTTTGTGACATTGTCCGCCCCGTTGTCCAGTGCTTCTTGAGTTTCAATTTCATCTTGACGACCAGCACGTGATGATCTGAGGCCATATCACCTCCTCTCTTGATTCTCATATCCTCCATCGTCCTCCTGAAATTTTTATTGATATAGATATGGCCGATTCGGTTCTGTGAAGTGTGATCCGATGACGTCTATGTGGATTTGTGTATGCCTTTATGTGGGAATATGGTGGCGCCTATTTTATTATTATTATTTATTATTTATTTGAACACATAAATATTGGTACAGGGGGGCACCAAATATATATGCGCCACACAAAACAATGAGAATTTGAAGAGAAGGAGAAAAAAATATTAAAAAAAAGTAATGAACGTGGGGAATTATAAAAAAAAAGAGAGAGAGAACAATGATGGGGAAAACGGAAAGGTACAATCAGAAGAAATCTTTCAGTTAAGGAAGATACAACCACTTTTTATGAAGAAAGTAAAAGAAGGTTACAGCAGGATCGCCATTGGTTTCTATTCTCCGCCATATATGATAACGTCTCTAGCCACTGCGTTACACCGTCTCTCGGACCCCAGCCAGGGACCAACAGAAGCTAGCTCTTTGCAGCTTTCTTTCATACCACGACACCATGTCATATACTGACCACCTCTCCGCTTTTTCCAACCAGTCCCAGAGTCGGCAAATAATGCACGACGAGGAATTCTCTGGGACGCCATTCGTAGAACATGTCCAAGCCACCGAAGTCGGTGTTTCAAGATGGTGACACCAATTTCATTATCGTCTCTATGACCGAACACACGATGCCGAACCTCTGCATTACTGACATGGTGTTGCCACTGGATGCCAGCAATCCTTCGGAGACAACGATGATCGAACACAGAGAGTCGTCTAACATCCTCAACTCGGAGAGGCCAGGTTTCACAAGCATAGAGCAAAACTGCTCTCACCGTCGCGTTGTAGATCCAACCTTTTACAGCCAGACTAACATCACGAAGGCGCCAAAGGTGGCCCAGATTGGCATAAGCCGCTCTGGCTTTCACTATACGTGCATTGATCTCATCACTCACACCACCACCAGCACTTATGCAGCTACCTAGATACACGAACTTCTCGACTACTTCTATCTGCTCACCGTCCAGAGTGAGTACAGGATTAAAATCCTGCCAGTCTTGTAGGAGTACTTTGCACTTCGAAGGTGCGAAGCTCATACCATACCTACGGACATTGATTGCCAACTGATTAAGTGCGGATTGCATGGCTTGAACATTCTCGCACATTAAGAAAATATCATCCGCATAGTCAAGGTCGAGAAGTCTTTCTCCAGGCAACAGATCCACACCACCACTACTTACATCCATCAGAGCTGTTTCCAGAATGTCATCGATGGCAAAGTTGAAGAGGAATGGTGAGATTGGGCAACCCTGCCTAACTCCACTGCCTGAATGGAATAGTGGAGAAAGGTGGTTGTATGCCCTCACTCTGCCTGAGGTGTTTGTGTATAGGGCTTTTAGGATGTTAATAAACTTCTCAGGCACACCCTTCTTCAATAGACAATCCAAGAGAACAGTTCTGTCCAACGAATCGAAGGCAGCCCTGATATCAAGAAACACTACGATTGTTGGCCTTTGATAAGTATGGCGGTGTTCTAACACTTGGCGGAGGGCAAAGATATGATCAATACATCCTCGACCAGAACGAAACCCAGCCTGCTCCTTGCGAGTCAATCCTTCTCGGGTTCTGAACAACCTACGAAGTATGACGGAAGCCAATAGCTTGGACGCAATCGGAAGTAGACTTATCCCCCGATAGTTGTTACAGGAACAACGTGAACCCTTTTTAAAGATAGGGACAACCATCGACTCATTCCATGACGTTGGTACACACTCTAGTTCCCAGACCTTTGTAAACAACGTCGTCAGTCCCTTAGTCAGAAAGTCACCACCATCTTTAAAAAGAACCGGAGGTAAGTCGTCTGGGCCCGGTGATTTGTAACATTTCAAGAGTTGGAGTTCCTTGCGGACTTCCGCCTCATTTGGTGGATCAGTCGTCCCCGGCCATGGAGGGCAGGACAGTCTGACCGATGTTGCCGGAGCAGCAGGCCAGTTGAACTGCCCTTCAAAGAATTCTGCCCATCGTCCAAGACGTCGATGGATGTTAGTGATTGGCGTTCCGTCATCCTCACAGATTGTGCCGCCTATTACCAGTTTATTGAACGCACATAGGTTTGCAAATCTCTTACCACTTTCGTTCTTCTCTCCTAGTCTATGTCGTCGTTTGATGTCTTCATATCCAGTGTTGTCCATTCCAACCTTGGCATTTAAATCTTCCATCAGAATGGCCAAGTCTTTTATTGGACACTTCTTGACGATTGACTGCAGCCTATCGTGGAACTGATCTTTATCGTCTTCATTGTAGTCGTTGGTAGGCGCATAGCATTGGATGACGTTCATTGTAATGCCCGCTTTCTTTGTTTTGAACGAGGCTTTGATTTTCCTGGATCCATGAGATTCCCATCCTATAAGTGCTTTTTGTACTTGTTTGGATAGCATCAATGCAACTCCTTGTGTATGTGGAGTATTTTCTTCTTCATGGCTGGAGTATAACAGTAGCTCTCTCTTGAAGCTAATCTTTGTTGTTGAAGCTGCTTCCAATGTGTTTCATTGACTCTCAACACCCACAGGTTGTATCATTTTCATTTCTGCAACAATTTGAATGACTCTCCTGGTCTCCCACATTAGACGAGCATTCTATGTACCTTAATTAATGGTTGATCTGGTTGTCAGAAGGGGTATCAGCCTCATAACTTCCGAAGGAACTCGGCTTTCACCATGATGTGTTATAACTTTTCTGAAAGAAAACATTTTAACTGTCAGGGCAGAGTTTAAGTGGTTTGAATAACTTTTTCTGGTTAGTGTTTTCTTAGCGAGTTAGTTTTCTCGGGAATAGAGTCGCTAACTTCATGCCCAACCCTCTTCCTTTGCCCTGGCTTGGGACCGGCAGTAGCCTCAGAGGGGCTTCAGGAGGAGTTAGCAATAATGACAAACAATCTAATTCAAAGAAATAGCGGTAGGGAAGATTTGTATCTCAGGTAGATGATTCAGTTGAAGTTTTGTTTTTTAACCTAGATGATCTGGTTGTGAAGCTTTCATGTAAATGATATTTGATCATATAATTCATAAATCAAATTTGATTGATTATGAGACATTAATACACTTAGAATGGAATTTGTTTACATACAAAAAGTTATTTGACCAGAATAATCTATCATTAACTAAGGTTTCATTTATTTCTGTTTTGTTTTGTTTTACAGAAGAATGAGAAAATCTATGGCAATGAAATATACAATACTTCTTTTAGTTATACTTCAAATGATATCTATTAGGTCACAAGATACACAGTCTAAAGATAAATCAAACAGTGACAATTCCAGATCACGTAATTGTAAGTAATTGGTTACTTTCAGTTATTGATCAGTTGAATGACTTGATGAAGTTCATATACTTTAGATGAGAACAGTTTAGAAAAAAATAACTGAACGGTATCGATTTGAATTGGATCTTTATTAGTCTGTACACTAAGAAACAGTAATATTCAAGTGGATATATGATAATATTAGATTAATCATAATGAAATATTTTTTGATTAAAATCATGAATCGATTGATGTTAAGTCACCATTGAAAACCTGGAAGCTATAGATAGAAGTTCACATCCACAATCTCGTACATGGGATTCAAACCTAGGATCTTCGGTCTCGTTTGCGAACGCTTAACCTTCAGACCTTTAGAGGTCCTGGGTTCGAATCCCATGAACGAGATTATGGATTCTCACCGTTGTGGAGTCTCATCTTAAGATAAAACGGCCGTTCAGTTTTTCCAGGTTTTCAGCAGTGGTCTAACATTGATGGATTCATGATCTCAATCAAAAACTTAACAATCTCCACAACCCCATATTAATAATTATGAAATGGATTACATAACTAAATGTTATAAGTAAACAATACAAATTGATAGTATCATATGAGGTATACTAGTTATGATAAAAATAATCAAATCTTGAATCCATAGTTTATGATAAGAATGAGATTAAAGAATTGGAAAACAGTAGGTAATAAAATATGAGTCACTAGCACTAATTATAGTTACGTAATGAGAAGTGTTCGAATAATTTGATAGTGATGAATCTATCTAAAAAATGACAGAAGAATAATGAACTAACCTTCTGTCAATAAAATTTGAACAGTACATATGCTAAATGACGAGGTAGATTATACGAAGTAATATACAATTATCTGTGTGAATAAATCTAATATTACTTAGAAAGATTTGTATTGTCACAATCGATTGATCACTGGGTGGTGATCAATGTCATGCTTATCTGGTCCTTTTTAGTGCAGATCGAATGCTATCGACCATGTTGCAATGTGGCCACCAGTCTAAGTGACTCGACACTGTGGGCATTATTGTGAGATTTAGATGGTGGTGCCAAGTAGCACGAAACCCGGGTCCAGGGTTTCCTGTCGACTACTTCCAACCACCATCTAGATTTGTATTGTCCTAGTGCTGATGTTAAAGATAGCAAATCATTAGTCTCGTTAGATATATTTAAATCTTGAATGGATTGTTATGATATAGCCACTTTCTATAATAAATAAATTATAGCTAGAAATGAAATCAAGCGAGAATATTTTATTCCTATGTGAACATTGACACTGCGATGGTAGTCTATTCATTAGAAAAGTCTCTTATAGGACAGGTATAACTGTTGGCCGAAACTTATCTATTCCGTAAAATTGAATGGTTCAGTTTATATGTATGCTCTACTAAGATTCAATAATCAGTTATTCTTTAAAGGTTATTCATTATGTGAAAAAAATGTAATTACGTCATTGTAATGCATTAGTATTTGCAATCTGAAATGTTGATTAAACACCGATAGTGAAGAACCTATAATTATACTTGTTTATGGAAGTGTCTGTAATTTCCATTGCAAACACTCTATTTTTCCAGTAATGTTAAGGGTTGTGGAAGTGTGCATTTACAAGTTGTTATAAATGCACGTCGATTAGTTCTACATTACTTCAGCTAGACAACGTTAGAAACTATACTACTGATGCTAAGTATCATCAAGGTCTATTAAACACTACTGATGTTATAGCTCCTTGGTCTAACTGATACAAGTGCTAAATACCATCCTCTCTTCAATAGTCGGTGGGAATGTTATAATCTTGATCTTGATCAATGAATCCAGTTTCCTTCATCAACATTTTCCAGATATTCCTAGTTTCAAATACATTGCATCAAAGTTCTCCTGATATGTCATGAAGAAATTGAAATCATGGATTGGTAACAATGCAGACATCTAAATACATCGGGAGGGAGATATCTGCTTATGATATCGGGAGTTATCTCACACTTGCTCGGGTTATGACTGCAATTATAGTGATTTAGGTGCTCGCCTTTGTGCTTGTTATTACGATCTGCTGTAGGTTTGATACTGGTTTGTTGAGGCTCTAAACACAGCTAATCTGTAAAGTGAGATATTATAGAATTTTACAGCTGTTTACACTTATCAGGGTATTATTCCTAGACAATTGGGGATTAGATGCTATGAAAATATATAATAACTAGTAAAGGATGTTAAAATTCTGTGTACTTACATACTCATTCTGGTCCTCAGGTTAGAACGAAAATAATTTACGAAGTTACGATTTTAGTCAACCTCTCTGTCCTAATAAGCAAAGGATTCGAACGGACAATTGGAGTTGTCGGCACTTATTAGTAATTAAACATTTTAAAACAGTATTCGTACAGAGACCTGTCACATTCATAGAACTGGTCACTATATTGATTTCTCTACCTGAATGTTGAGGTGAAAAACTAGTCGCATCCTTAAGAACCCTCAGAGAAATGAGTATCCAGGCTAAAATTTAAGAATAAAATTTATTAGTAAAGTTTATTAACTCTCATTAATTTTATTCTATTTTCTTTTCTTTTTTTTTTTTCTTTTTTCTTTAAATTCTTATTCACAAACAGTATACTTGGGTGTAGTGATAGTGGTTATATTTGGTGTTTGTTTATTGATCATAATTATTATTGCAATTATTTGTTTTCGTGAACATAAACAACCAATCATTGATCCAGTAACAGTAATTCAAGCTATGTAAACAATGTGTATCATTACAAACTTTCATATTTTAAAGAATGCTGTTATTACTATTATTATTGTAAACATTTTCTTTATTCTATCATAACATTGACTTATCTAATATGTATATAATTCGTCTTACTTTATTTTTATTCTGGTTAGTATTTTTTGTTAGCAAGATTTTATTTTCTCTACAGGATGGGGTTGCCAACCACATATCCAACCTTCCTAGTTTATCTGGGCTTTGGATTGGTAGTCACTTTAGAAGAGTTACAGGTGGAGTTTATCTAATATCTATTACAAGACAAAATAATAAAAGAAGATAAATTAGACATATTATAGATGAAATAAACTATTCTTATCAAGATATCGTTTTTTTTTTCATTTTGGTGAACTTTTCACTGAACCAATCTTTCTTAATTGGTATATTTCGTTTAGTTACTATTTTGTTGATCAGTAGTATATGAGTAAATCATAAAAAATAAAGTATACATATATTTGGTTTTTTATAAATATTGTTGAATGTTTTCAAAATGTAGTTTTCGTTAATGAAATGAGAAGACGAAGGTTATTAGAATTATGTAATATATTTGTGCCAAATACATTTTGAACAATCTAATCAAACATTATATACTTGTTAAGACATATTTAAGATGTAAATTAAATAGTTAACTAGACAAATTAAAGGTAACAAAGATAATGAAAAAGTATACAAAAACAATGTAATAACCACTCTGTATAATAAATCACTATTAGCAGGGTAGGTTAAGTTTAGGAATAAATTAACTTCAGAAGGGGTTTTTTTGTGGATATTATTAATAATTGCAATAGTTAAGATCATGAATCAATTGAAGATAGACCACCATGGAAAACCCGGAAGCACTGCACAGACATTTCCTCCTAGTATAGGACTCCTCAGTAGTGCGCATCCACGATCTCATCTCGCGAGATTTGAACCCAGGACTTATTGGTCTCACGAGTGCTTAATCACTAGACAACTAAGTCGGCCGTTATATAACGATGTTAATGTCTAACCTTAACTAATACACGAATTTGTGCTACCGTTCACCAATCTGTTCAATGAGTTATTATCTCACAAGAGACGTGGTTAAACTCTACTAGTCACTGCTTCTCACTAGAACTCCAGTCATTGATGAGCATATATTGATTCACATCAGAATGGTTTTGTGAATATTATAGTAATTTCAATGGTTGAGATCATGAGTCAACTGAAACTGGACCACTATGGAAAACCTGGAAGCACTGTGTTCTAATCTCACGAGGCGAGGTTGTGGATGCACACTGCTGGGGAGTTCAGTGCTTCCAGATTTAGCTTCAATTGACTTATGATCTCAACCATTGCAATTAAATTCACATGGTATTGCTTACTTGAATTAAGGCAATATTGAAGCAATACACACAGTATGCACATATGCTAATAAGATATTGATCAATTTCCGTCCTAAACATTAATGGAAAGATTCAAACAAACAATACTTAGTGAATTTAAACTTCACCCCATTGTTGAAACAGGTGCCTATCAGGACTCAGTAGCTAAGTGGATAACGCGATGGCGTTTGAAGTGAACGGTACTGGGGTCCAGTTATGGAATGAACATCAACTTTGAAATGCAGATACATTCAATTGACGAGTCCCAAGCATGACTACTACTACGACTACTACGACCACTAAGACTACTACGACTACTACTACTACTACTACTGATACTCACTATCCATCTTTGCATATAATATACTGAATTTATTTTTTAAAACTATGTATATTTGTGATAATGAATGAACATAAAAGAAAAAAAAACAAGAAGAAGAACAAGAAGAAAAAAAAAAGAGGAAAAATAAACATTATGGGTATTTTTGTTTTCTTCAAATAAAATATTGTTTAATAACATATCTAATTTAATTGTATATTTGAATCCATAATAAAATAAATATTAACATTATCTAATATTAATTATGTCATTTGTTTTAATCGTAATTGTTTAATTGATTCAGTTCGAATGAGAAAATAGATTAATGCAGCAATAGCAATAGTTAATAGAATAGCAGCGAATACAATTAATGCAATTGTTCCAGGATGTACTTGTTGAATGTGAACAGAGAAAAAAAAGAAAAAAAAATAGAAAGAATTAGTTTATACAATAAAGAAATGGATGAATTAATTAGATATAAGAGAATAGATCTTGGATTTTAGCGTGAAATTCATTCATCTATTTGATTAAATAGAGTTTTGGCAGTTTAGCTATTTATATTTATATTTATTTGAATACATAAATATTGGTAAAAAAGAGCACCGAATATATATACGCCTTACAAGTCATTTGATTTGTGTGTGGGCTGTGATACTGCCCGGATTGTTTCCTTAGAAGGCAAAAGCCTGAAGCCTTTGACCTAAAGATCTGATCCATAAGGCACTGGAGCAACGTCAGGAGATGCAGTCCCATGGTAGCGGGTGACCAATAATTGGTTCATACGCCATTTATTCCTTCAGGATCATGGAGCCTATGTGCACAACTGATTTGAAATGAGAGTTTTTCAACTCCCTTAGGTGGAGAGGGAGATTTGACTCTTCCAAATCTCGGCCGTGCCAGGACATTTAGGGTCTTGATATCTTAGCTGATACCAATTAGTAATGGAAAGCCTAAATGTAACGCTTAGTCATAATCATCAACTGTAAATCATAATTCTAATTCCTCACATTGCTTTACAATCATCATTTAGTCCTAGTTAGTAGCTGGACATTCTTAAGGTCATTTTAGCGTTCCTCAAAGACCGTCCAAAAATTGTAGTCTTACCAAATAAAGTATAAAATGAATAGTATATAAATTGTAGAATGCATACATCATTAATTATGAGGATTTTTTCGCTCAATAAATAATGTTCAAAAACCATATTATTCATTAATCATTTTAAACTTGCTACAGATCTTATTAACTGTGATAAAATAATCAAGTTGAAAGTTAGTAGTTCACTAGAACTGATTTTATAATAATGTGTATGTGGAGTAGCAAATCACAAATTAAGATGCTTGACTTTCAATTACTAAGTCTCAGGTTCGACTTTCATTCCATCTAATTTTATTTGAGTAAACTGAGTAGTATCACTGACTCTTACGCTACGATTATGACTTGAAACCAAGTAAGTAAATTTGTATCTAGTAAATGACTTACTAAATGGATACACATAATTCGCTCACTTAAATATCTGAATCAATATTACTGATCAATTTGGTACAACTGAGTCATTAAAATGTTTGAAATAAATGAAAATCTCTATTATGAAACATGAAAGTAAATTTAAGATGATCCCTAAGCTTAATTACAAAACAAACCTGGTCGTTAGACAGAATATATGTTAAAGTACTTGATATGATTCAATGCTTGATCAGGAGTGCTTTATGAAGCTAAATAGTTTTCTTTCATTGTAATCTTTACTTTTAATTTCAACCCCATGTTTCCGAAGTTTACATAGCAAAGAATTATAAACTATTGCATCATAGTTGATGTTAGTTCATGACAAAAACCTTAACCTTAATGATATGTAGGCGTGGAAGATAATGATTGGTTGTTTGTTCATTAAGACTCGTAGATACTCTGATAGGTACTAGATGAGTTATATATTCTTCTACCCTTATTATTATTGTGATTGTTATCGGTTATTGGTGTGCACATATACTTACGTTCTAGTCAAGCTAATCACGTGTTCTTGATCTGAGTTGTGTTGAAGTTCTGTAGAATATACACTAGGAGGATATCTAGTATAGATATTCATCTACGGCAAATTAACGTTTCATTCGTGTAGACGAGGACAATCAAGCATTATAACACTTAATTTGTAAACCTTTATTAAAACTCCAACTTAACTCTAAATATCTAACCTTAACTATTTTGCATTATTGCTCGCGTTAGTTGGTAACGAAAACTCTATGAGGTGATAACCCTAGCTCATACAAATAATCGATTGTTTCATCCTATTACCAGTTTAATTTGTTATCATTTAAATAAATTCGATTATATAAAAACAGTTTAATGCTATCACTGGATAAGCAGTTGTTATGTTCAGTGGTTGGTATTGAAGAAGATAAAGAAAGAAGTACTATGAAGAAGAGAAATGAATTTCATTGTAGAAATTTGTTTTGGCATGATACTCTTTGAGCTACTGTTCTTTCAGTAGTATTGTTTTTTTTTATAAGTTAAGTTACTTTTTTTGTTAAAATGTATTCATCAGTTACGTAAGATTCATCGTTAAAGAGATTGATATCAAACTACTAGGGAACCTTTGTAAATTATAGCATACACAATATAAAATATTACAATCAGACTACTTAACACCAAGCTATACAACAATACAGGAACGTCATGGTATATAAAAAAACCATATATATTATATACGAAACATTTCTAATTTTAGTGTATTAGAAGAAATTTTGAAACGTACATGTACAATTTTTTCCTGGATCATCTGGATTTAAATCTTTCCACATTGGATCACATGTACATGTAACACCGTTGTCAGTATTACGACATGATGCATGTTCACCACAAATCGATTGAGTTTGTGAACATGTAATAGTTAGTGAAATTCCTGTGATAAATTAGAAATATTGTAAGTATAGATAGAAGAATATAGGCACTAAACAGTAATGCGTTTGAAAGAAATATACAAATTGGTTCAATTCATCACGATCCTTTTCAACAGAAAAATATTCTGGATTATTTCTGATTTTGATTAGTAATTGAAATTAGAACCTGAATTTCATCCTGTTCAAGTCTTATCTATTACTTGTTTACTCACGCCTGTTACTTCTCGTAGAGGAGCATAGGCTGCTCACCAGAATTCTCCATCCAACCCTGTCCTGAGCAATACTTTCCAGGTCTTTCCAGTTGATATTCATCATTTTCATATCTGATTCTATTTCCCGACATAATGTGTTCTTTGGCCTTCCTCTTTTCCACTTTCCTTCAGGATTCCATGTTAGGACTTGCCTCGTGATGTAGTTTGATGACTTGCGTAATGTATGTCCTATTCATTTCCATCGTCTTTTTCTAATTTCCTCTTCAGCTGGAAGCTGGTTTGTTCTGTCCCACAGAAGGTTGTTGCTGATGGTATCCGGTCAATGGATGTTAAGTATCTTGCGTAGACAACTATTTATAAATACTTGTACCTTCTTGGTGATGGTTCTGGTAGTTCTTCAAGTTTCAGCTCCGTACAGTAGAACCGTTTTGACTTTCGCATTGAAGATTGTGACTTTGATATTGGTTGAGAGACAGTTTTTTTGAGTTTCATATGTTCGTCAATTGTAGGAATGTTGTCCTTTCTTTCCCAATCCTCGCCTTTACTTCTGCATCCGATCCTCCTTGTTCATCGATGATGCTCCCCAGGTATTTGAAGGATTCCATATCTTCCAGAGTTTCGCCATTAGGTGTGATTGGGTTGGTGTTCTCCGTGTTGTATTTGAGGACCTTGGTTTTTCCTCAGTGTATGTTGAGGCCTACTGATGCAGAGGCTTCTTATCTATTGGATGGATCTAAATTGAAGTTGGAAACTAACTCGGTGCCTATCACTACAAACACAAATGAGTTATTCAGTAGGTTATAAAGTCTTGAGATCAAGTAGTCTTTTGAAAATTATGAAAAATATCTTGTCTCAATAAAATTGTCTATAAAGAAAATGAGTGAAGTACGAAAACATTTTACTCTTCAAAAGTGAATATCTGCAACCCTAAGAAGGTTCGAACACAGGACCATCAGGCCTTGTAGGAAGTGCTCAATCTCCAAACTAATGAGCTGAGATACAGTTTTTTAGTGTAGTAGATTCGCTATACTGCGGTGTCACCATGGAACGTAGATTTGGATTGCTGAAGAGTCTCATACTACCATTGGATGATATCATCATGTGATCAGTTTAGCTAAAATCAATCTCTAGTGTAATGTAGACCACTGTTAAAAATATTTACACTTCTGTTTATCTGTCTTATGCAGTAATTCTCAGTTTTTTTTGCAAATACTATTGATCAGTTTTAACTAATTAGGTTTATTACTGAGTAGTCACATGCCGGGACGATATAATTGATGAATATTTCTTGATTTTCAATAAATACCGGGCTAAAGTTAGTACTTAATTTAAAACTATAAAACTCAACAATCGTCATAAACTTCTCGTTCTAGTATTAATCTCATGGGTTAATTATAAAGTTACAGATCATTATTTACACATGAGCTGGAATTTCAACAATTAAACACATATAAGTACAAGCAAGTGGCTATCAGGACTCAATAGTTAAGTGGATAATGCGATGTCGTTTGAAGAGAACGGTACTGGATTCGAGTTATAGAGTGAACATCAACTGTGAGATGCAGGCACATCCAGCCGACGATTTTCGAATAGGAAAAAAACGCGTGTCTTTGATTCCACTGCTAGCCACCATTAGTCTTTGCTTATAATGCTTGTGAATTAAGGCGATATTAAGACGATACGCACAGTATGCACATATGCCAATAAAAGACTGATTCATTGCAATCCTAAACATCAATGGGAAGATTCAAACAAATAATACCAAGTGAATTAAACACATAATATTACATACGTGTTGTATCAATGCCGGTTAGATAATTTCCACTTGATAAATTAAGCTTTTGATAACCACTAAGTAATAATTGTGAAAATTGCGCTTGATTTAACTGTGAACCAGCTAATGTTTGTAGTTCAGTTTGTGCATTTCCTTGAACTGCATCAGTTGTAATATTGTTAGAGCTTTGAATTTGTCGTTTAGAAGGTGAATTTAGGGTAGTTCGAATGAATCCAATAAATGTACAAGTTGCACCACGAGTTATTTGTGTATTTTGTGTTAATAAACTCTGTAATAACTTAAATTGTATTGAAGAGATTGCAAAATATGATTTAATATACATAAAATAGCACCTAATTGCTACTCATTAGGAAAAAAACTATAAATATTTTGGTACATAATAATAATGGGTATGATAGATTTGACAATTTTTGTGGAAATATTGCAAAGTTTATAGCTAAACGATGATGACTTAATAGTTGGAATCATGAGTCAATTGAAGCTAGACAACCATGGAAAACCTGGAAACACTGGATGGCCGTATCGTCCTAGTATGGGACTCCTCATCAGTGCGCACGCACGATCCCGCCCCCCGCCAGATACGAACCCAGGATCTATCAGTCTCGCGCGCGAGCGCTTAACCATTAGACCACTGAGCCAGCATCCAACGGTGTTAATGTCTGACTTCAATTAATCCACGAAATTGCGCCACCGTACACTATTGTCTTCAGTGAGCTTTTTGAAGAAACGATTACAAAATATCATAACAGTTGAAGATACGTTTCGGGCCCATTTAATTCTTCTAGTAAGATTTATGCTCACATCTTGTATAGAAGTCGGAGACGTTATTTTTGAGGTATACGTATAATTTCTGACTGTTATACTGGGTGAGAGAAGTTCAAATCCCAAGGACAATATAATTCCTTACAAGATTGTAAGTATGTGTAAGTGCGTCTTGTCGACTAACTCCAATCGCCTAACATCTGTCAAACTTCTGTTACGACATATGTGTAAGATGATGTATTCATGAGTTTTGCATTTCATATAATCTCAACACAGTTATGGTTATAATATGTAATAAAATTATACACCATGTTTGCTTTCTGAATTTATAGACTTTAAGTAAAAAAAATGACACATACCAAGGAACAGTAGTTTGTAGACAAGGTTTTATAGGCACTCGTTGTTTTATCAGCATAATCATTTGACCATGGAACATACTTGCCAGTAGTGAAAGTGTATATAATTGCTTTGACTTGAAATGCTGTAGTTACTAAACAAATAAAACAAAACGTTATTGAAAAAAAGGAAGATTAATTAATTTGTTACGCTTTTTTGAGGGAGTATTTTTAAAGATTAACATAACTTTTGAACAGTACTATTCGTAAATTGACTTCATTCAGAGTATCATTGTAAGTCAGAAAGAACTAGGAAGGTATTTATTGCTTGTATCGGACTACTTGATAGTACTCACTCACTACACAACTAAGGATTGAATTGCGGAACTTCATGATGTAGTGAGAACGCTTGATCATTAAAGCCACTAGATCAATGACCAACGGTGGAATTCCCAATACTCAATAGTCTAATACTAGAATGAGGCAGTTATCGAGTGTCTTTTGGAAACCAATTGTATCCCAAATGAGGTAACGCTGTGACGAATACTGTCTAATTTGTTAGGCGTCACTTTATGGTGTTAAGATGAATTTTCATAAAGCATTGCTCGAGAAAGTGAATATTGTGTAATAAATGTAGGTTATATTTTGTGATTCCAATATCAAGAAACACAATCAATGTTGGTCTGCAATAGGCCTGATAGAGGGTCAAGATATGATGAATGCATACATGATCCGTTCTAAAACCATGTTCCTCGGTCTGATGATCATAAGGGACCCCAACATATTGAACTCAATCACAAGTCAACTTATCATTTCTAACGCCCATTTTAAGGACAGTGACTTCAGTCGTTTCATTCTAATACACTAAAGCACCATTCGAAACAACAACAATCATTTTGGTGACCAGAAGTTCGTCACCAGCCTTAATAAGAACGAGCTTTAGGGAATCACACAAACTATATCGTGTATTAAACTGATATCAAACTTTTATGGAGTAAGACTTATGATTGACCAACTGACTTTCTAGTGTTAAAATATAAGAAAAGAATGCTGATCAATAGATGATCAAGGTCATTTGATGATACAAAGTAGCTTGATGACATCTGCCTACCAAACAGATTTATTGGTGCTGGCAGCCAAATCATTTGAGGCAAGGCCACTAGTCAGAAGGAAAATATTCTACTATGAAATAACATGGTTGTATACAAACTATTAACAACAAAGTAACTTAATTCAATATCACGAATCATTTGGATAATATTAATTTTGTAGTTCTTTCACTCCGCCATAAAATTAATTCCTATATGTTAGAACAAATTCTAGCCTGTCATATTACAATTGCTGTATTACTAACTTGGAAAAGACATTTTAATGAATAATAACAAATGAAAGTTACCTCTATTAACATAGATTGTCGTAGTGGTTGTCGTTTCGATGGTAGTCAAAGTCGAAGCGTTTGTAAATAAATTAGTGATCGATTGTGTTGATTGACTCGAAAATGTAGATGTTATTTCAGTTAGTTTATCAGTAGATGCTTTAGTCGTAAATATTGATATGGTTGTGGATGCATTAAGATCCATTACAGAAGTGCTTGTTGTTAATGAAGTGACACTAAGTGTACTACTTTCTTCAACTGTTCCTGTTGTATCTGTAGGATGAAAGTAGAAGTAGAAAAACAATCAAATAGTTGATATTTGAATTTATTAAATTTATAAAAGATTTCCAGTCAGGTCAATGGACAATCAATGAACATATTTTAAGTGGAACAATTTATTATCAATTAAGAGAACCTGATACTAAATTATAAGGTTAGCTGTCAGATAACAGTACAAGATGGATGGAACACGTATAAAGCCGATAACAACAAACTAATTGCTAAAATTACATAATTGCAAAGAAATAATAAAGTGTGTTGTCAACAGAGTACAAAACATACAGACATTCTTAAATTGGATGAATAAGATATGACATAAAAATTATAAAATACACTTAAAATACTCAAAAGCATAATATATACGATAAAAAGATTATTTATTTAAAAAAAGACTGTAAAGCCACTAGACTAAATGCTTGGTTGATGCACTATGGACAGACTGGGATCACATTATTCTGGATACACGATTCGCGACCAAATACAGGAAACCAGAATATTGTCTAGGAAATACTTTATTCAACACAACTACTAACAGTCTACACTCAGTGACTTCAGAGTAGAAATCGATCATAGAAAAGAAGTCATCTATTAAATAGAAAGTAAGCTGAGTGTCAGTCGACGCTCAACGATCCGTCACATTTTACTGTCAGTAGCAACACGTAACGACCACATAGAAAGATCTGACAATTCGGCCGATTTATATAACTAATACAACCACAGTCATTGAGTGATCTATAAACAATAAAATGTTTTACTCACTTGTGCCTACAGTACTTGATGTTGTGGTGTTAGTTGGAACTGATGTTGTCCTCACAGATTCTGTCGGTTGACTCGAAAATGTGGATGTCAGTGAAGTTTGATTATCAGTGGGTGTTGTTGGTGTTGACGTGTTTGTGGATGGAATGCTCGTGAATGTTGCTGGTGTGTGATCAGTAGTGGATGTTTGGATTTGTCCAGTTGATGATATTGGTGAAGTGTCAAAAGAAGTAGTTGTGCTCACTTGTGGAACTGTTGTAGAGGTATCTTTTAAACAAAAATTAGAGTGTAGAATTAACCAGCAGTTTGGCATTGTTTGTTATTTATCACATCTAACTATGAGTAATTAATTATCAGTGGTGATATTAGCCTGTTCAAAACGATTCCAGCTTCCCATACTTGTCACTAATCTGTTACCGAAAAACATGTGTACTAATAATAGTGTATGCTTTTCAATAATGAAGTGAGCGTGTGTTCTATCTTTTCAGGAGCGACCCTCATATCGAATTTCGAAATTCCTGTCAAATTTTACAATGAATTCCTATAATTTATGCAGCACACTTTGTGGTTCTCGGAATGCAGTGAACTTGTATCTATTTAAATAGTGCTACATTGTGGAATTCGATCTGCATGGTGTGAAGTTTCGTTGAGTGTAAGATTTATATTGTGACCACAAACCAATCTTTGTTAGACAACCAGTGGGAACCAGAAAGCACTGGACAATTGTTTTGTGCTGATACGGAGCTCTGCAACAGTAAACATCCACGAGTTCATCGACCGTCGAATTCAACACCCTCAGTTCTTGAGACGAGCATTCAACATGTGGACCACTGAACTGGTTTACATTTCCAACTTCGGTCGATCACAGATATTACGCAACCATCATCTTGCATGGTCTTAGTTTCACAATCACAACGCACTAGACACGATTTAACTCCATTGATCTCAACCTACTGGAATTCTAGCAACAAAACAGGCAGTCCGTTTCCACCTACTTTTCATCTGTTCTCTGATTCACGTCAATTCACAATATCAGTAATACTCAACAACCTCCACGAACAACCTCCCTATACTGTATGACTTTGTTAGGCCTGTAAATATCAGTCTTATTTATTTCTTCTTTATCTATTGAGTGAAGTGATCAGACCATGATAGAAAACGCTACTTATTCCAAACGCTGTGAAATGACGGGTTAAATGTAAATAAACTATTTCATTAATGTAGGTAAGAAAATTCAAAGTGACTGGAATATACACTGTAACAATATGAGACCTTAAAATACAGAAAAACACCTTCTATTTAATATTGGTATTCAATACGAATCCACCAACAGATGGGTGGGTTTTCATTCAGTCGGTTTGTTTGACTAGCTACATTATAAGACAATTCGTCACTATATTGTATAGACATCACAAAACAAACCCGCTTTAACACTTTATTTCATTATGGAAAACAACGTGCACATCAGCTGATATAACAGCAGAATAGGGATATTTTCTTTTACCACAGTATGTGCTAATCTACTGTGATCATGAAACCTGTGTCTAGACTGTACGGCCACTAGACTAAATGCTTGGTTGATGCACTATGGACAGACTGGGATCACATTATTCTGGATACACGATTCGCGACCAAATACAGGAAACCAGAATATTGTCTAGGAAATACTTTATTCAACACAACTACTAACAGTCTACACTCAGTGACTTCAGAGTAGAAATCGATCATAGAAAAGAAGTCATCTATTAAATAGAAAGTAAGCTGAGTGTCAGTCGACGCTCAACGATCCGTCACATTTTACTGTCAGTAGCAACACGTAACGACCACATAGAAAGATCTGACAATTCGGCCGATTTATATAACTAATACAACCACAGTCATTGAGTGATCTATAAACAATAAAATGTTTTACTCACTTGTGCCTACAGTACTTGATGTTGTGGTGTTAGTTGGAACTGATGTTGTCCTCACAGATTCTGTCGGTTGACTCGAAAATGTGGATGTCAGTGAAGTTTGATTATCAGTGGGTGTTGTTGGTGTTGACGTGTTTGTGGATGGAATGCTCGTGAATGTTGCTGGTGTGTGATCAGTAGTGGATGTTTGGATTTGTCCAGTTGATGATATTGGTGAAGTATCAAAAGAAGTAGTTGTGCTCACTTGTGGAACTGTTGTAGAGGTATCTTTTAAACAAAAATTAGAGTGTAGAATTAACCAGCAGTTTGGCATTGTTTGTTATTTATCACATCTAACTATGAGTAATTAATTATCAGTGGTGATATTAGCCTGTTCAAAACGATTCCAGCTTCCCATACTTGTCACTAATCTGTTACCGAAAAACATGTGTACTAATAATAGTGTATGCTTTTCAATAATGAAGTGAGCGTGTGTTCTATCTTTTCAGGAGCGACCCTCATATCGAATTTCGAAATTCCTGTCAAATTTTACAATGAATTCCTATAATTTATGCAGCACACTTTGTGGTTCTCGGAATGCAGTGAACTTGTATCTATTTAAATAGTGCTACATTGTGGAATTCGATCTGCATGGTGTGAAGTTTCGTTGAGTGTAAGATTTATATTGTGACCACAAACCAATCTTTGTTAGACAACCAGTGGGAACCAGAAAGCACTGGACAATTGTTTTGTGCTGATACGGAGCTCTGCAACAGTAAACATCCACGAGTTCATCGACCGTCGAATTCAACACCCTCAGTTCTTGAGACGAGCATTCAACATGTGGACCACTGAACTGGTTTACATTTCCAACTTCGGTCGATCACAGATATTACGCAACCATCATCTTGCATGGTCTTAGTTTCACAATCACAACGCACTAGACACGATTTAACTCCATTGATCTCAACCTACTGGAATTCTAGCAACAAAACGGCAGTCCGTTTCCACCTACTTTTCATCTGTTCTCTGATTCACGTCAATTCACAATATCAGTAATACTCAACAACCTCCACGAACAACCTCCCTATACTGTATGACTTTGTTAGGCCTGTAAATATCAGTCTTATTTATTTCTTCTTTATCTATTGAGTGAAGTGATCAGACCATGATAGAAAACGCTACTTATTCCAAACGCTGTGAAATGACGGGTTAAATGTAAATAAACTATTTCATTAATGTAGGTAAGAAAATTCAAAGTGACTGGAATATACACTGTAACAATATGAGACCTTAAAATACAGAAAAACACCTTCTATTTAATATTGGTATTCAATACGAATCCACCAACAGATGGGTGGGTTTTCATTCAGTCGGTTTGTTTGACTAGCTACATTATAAGACAATTCGTCACTATATTGTATAGACATCACAAAACAAACCCGCTTTAACACTTTATTTCATTATGGAAAACAACGTGCACATCAGCTGATATAACAGCAGAATAGGGATATTTTCTTTTACCACAGTATGTGCTAATCTACTGTGATCATGAAACCTGTGTCTAGACTGTACGGCCACTAGACTAAATGCTTGGTTGATGCACTATGGACAGACTGGGATCACATTATTCTGGATACACGATTCGCGACCAAATACAGGAAACCAGAATATTGTCTAGGAAATACTTTATTCAACACAACTACTAACAGTCTACACTCAGTGACTTCAGAGTAGAAATCGATCATAGAAAAGAAGTCATCTATTAAATAGAAAGTAAGCTGAGTGTCAGTCGACGCTCAACGATCCGTCACATTTTACTGTCAGTAGCAACACGTAACGACCACATAGAAAGATCTGACAATTCGGCCGATTTATATAACTAATACAACCACAGTCATTGAGTGATCTATAAACAATAAAATGTTTTACTCACTTGTGCCTACAGTACTTGATGTTGTGGTGTTAGTTGGAACTGATGTTGTCCTCACAGATTCTGTCGGTTGACTCGAAAATGTGGATGTCAGTGAAGTTTGATTATCAGTGGGTGTTGTTGGTGTTGACGTGTTTGTGGATGGAATGCTCGTGAATGTTGCTGGTGTGTGATCAGTAGTGGATGTTTGGATTTGTCCAGTTGATGATATTGGTGAAGTGTCAAAAGAAGTAGTTGTGCTCACTTGTGGAACTGTTGTAGAGGTATCTTTTAAACAAAAATTAGAGTGTAGAATTAACCAGCAGTTTGGCATTGTTTGTTATTTATCACATCTAACTATGAGTAATTAATTATCAGTGGTGATATTAGCCTGTTCAAAACGATTCCAGCTTCCCATACTTGTCACTAATCTGTTACCGAAAAACATGTGTACTAATAATAGTGTATGCTTTTCAATAATGAAGTGAGCGTGTGTTCTATCTTTTCAGGAGCGACCCTCATATCGAATTTCGAAATTCCTGTCAAATTTTACAATGAATTCCTATAATTTATGCAGCACACTTTGTGGTTCTCGGAATGCAGTGAACTTGTATCTATTTAAATAGTGCTACATTGTGGAATTCGATCTGCATGGTGTGAAGTTTCGTTGAGTGTAAGATTTATATTGTGACCACAAACCAATCTTTGTTAGACAACCAGTGGGAACCAGAAAGCACTGGACAATTGTTTTGTGCTGATACGGAGCTCTGCAACAGTAAACATCCACGAGTTCATCGACCGTCGAATTCAACACCCTCAGTTCTTGAGACGAGCATTCAACATGTGGACCACTGAACTGGTTTACATTTCCAACTTCGGTCGATCACAGATATTACGCAACCATCATCTTGCATGGTCTTAGTTTCACAATCACAACGCACTAGACACGATTTAACTCCATTGATCTCAACCTACTGGAATTCTAGCAACAAAACAGCAGTCCGTTTCCACCTACTTTTCATCTGTTCTCTGATTCACGTCAATTCACAATATCAGTAATACTCAACAACCTCCACGAACAACCTCCCTATACTGTATGACTTTGTTAGGCCTGTAAATATCAGTCTTATTTATTTCTTCTTTATCTATTGAGTGAAGTGATCAGACCATGATAGAAAACGCTACTTATTCCAAACGCTGTGAAATGACGGGTTAAATGTAAATAAACTATTTCATTAATGTAGGTAAGAAAATTCAAAGTGACTGGAATATACACTGTAACAATATGAGACCTTAAAATACAGAAAAACACCTTCTATTTAATATTGGTATTCAATACGAATCCACCAACAGATGGGTGGGTTTTCATTCAGTCGGTTTGTTTGACTAGCTACATTATAAGACAATTCGTCACTATATTGTATAGACATCACAAAACAAACCCGCTTTAACACTTTATTTCATTATGGAAAACAACGTGCACATCAGCTGATATAACAGCAGAATAGGGATATTTTCTTTTACCACAGTATGTGCTAATCTACTGTGATCATGAAACCTGTGTCTAGACTGTACGGCCACTAGACTAAATGCTTGGTTGATGCACTATGGACAGACTGGGATCACATTATTCTGGATACACGATTCGCGACCAAATACAGGAAACCAGAATATTGTCTAGGAAATACTTTATTCAACACAACTACTAACAGTCTACACTCAGTGACTTCAGAGTAGAAATCGATCATAGAAAAGAAGTCATCTATTAAATAGAAAGTAAGCTGAGTGTCAGTCGACGCTCAACGATCCGTCACATTTTACTGTCAGTAGCAACACGTAACGACCACATAGAAAGATCTGACAATTCGGCCGATTTATATAACTAATACAACCACAGTCATTGAGTGATCTATAAACAATAAAATGTTTTACTCACTTGTGCCTACAGTACTTGATGTTGTGGTGTTAGTTGGAACTGATGTTGTCCTCACAGATTCTGTCGGTTGACTCGAAAATGTGGATGTCAGTGAAGTTTGATTATCAGTGGGTGTTGTTGGTGTTGACGTGTTTGTGGATGGAATGCTCGTGAATGTTGCTGGTGTGTGATCAGTAGTGGATGTTTGGATTTGTCCAGTTGATGATATTGGTGAAGTGTCAAAAGAAGTAGTTGTGCTCACTTGTGGAACTGTTGTAGAGGTATCTTTTAAACAAAAATTAGAGTGTAGAATTAACCAGCAGTTTGGCATTGTTTGTTATTTATCACATCTAACTATGAGTAATTAATTATCAGTGGTGATATTAGCCTGTTCAAAACGATTCCAGCTTCCCATACTTGTCACTAATCTGTTACCGAAAAACATGTGTACTAATAATAGTGTATGCTTTTCAATAATGAAGTGAGCGTGTGTTCTATCTTTTCAGGAGCGATCCCTCATATCGAATTTCGAAATTCCTGTCAAATTTTACAATGAATTCCTATAATTTATGCAGCACACTTTGTGGTTCTCGGAATGCAGTGAACTTGTATCTATTTAAATAGTGCTACATTGTGGAATTCGATCTGCATGGTGTGAAGTTTCGTTGAGTGTAAGATTTATATTGTGACCACAAACCAATCTTTGTTAGACAACCAGTGGGAACCAGAAAGCACTGGACAATTGTTTTGTGCTGATACGGAGCTCTGCAACAGTAAACATCCACGAGTTCATCGACCGTCGAATTCAACACCCTCAGTTCTTGAGACGAGCATTCAACATGTGGACCACTGAACTGGTTTACATTTCCAACTTCGGTCGATCACAGATATTACGCAACCATCATCTTGCATGGTCTTAGTTTCACAATCACAACGCACTAGACACGATTTAACTCCATTGATCTCAACCTACTGGAATTCTAGCAACAAAACGGCAGTCCGTTTCCACCTACTTTTCATCTGTTCTCTGATTCACGTCAATTCACAATATCAGTAATACTCAACAACCTCCACGAACAACCTCCCTATACTGTATGACTTTGTTAGGCCTGTAAATATCAGTCTTATTTATTTCTTCTTTATCTATTGAGTGAAGTGATCAGACCATGATAGAAAACGCTACTTATTCCAAACGCTGTGAAATGACGGGTTAAATGTAAATAAACTATTTCATTAATGTAGGTAAGAAAATTCAAAGTGACTGGAATATACACTGTAACAATATGAGACCTTAAAATACAGAAAAACACCTTCTATTTAATATTGGTATTCAATACGAATCCACCAACAGATGGGTGGGTTTTCATTCAGTCGGTTTGTTTGACTAGCTACATTATAAGACAATTCGTCACTATATTGTATAGACATCACAAAACAAACCCGCTTTAACACTTTATTTCATTATGGAAAACAACGTGCACATCAGCTGATATAACAGCAGAATAGGGATATTTTCTTTTACCACAGTATGTGCTAATCTACTGTGATCATGAAACCTGTGTCTAGACTGTACGGCCACTAGACTAAATGCTTGGTTGATGCACTATGGACAGACTGGGATCACATTATTCTGGATACACGATTCGCGACCAAATACAGGAAACCAGAATATTGTCTAGGAAATACTTTATTCAACACAACTACTAACAGTCTACACTCAGTGACTTCAGAGTAGAAATCGATCATAGAAAAGAAGTCATCTATTAAATAGAAAGTAAGCTGAGTGTCAGTCGACGCTCAACGATCCGTCACATTTTACTGTCAGTAGCAACACGTAACGACCACATAGAAAGATCTGACAATTCGGCCGATTTATATAACTAATACAACCACAGTCATTGAGTGATCTATAAACAATAAAATGTTTTACTCACTTGTGCCTACAGTACTTGATGTTGTGGTGTTAGTTGGAACTGATGTTGTCCTCACAGATTCTGTCGGTTGACTCGAAAATGTGGATGTCAGTGAAGTTTGATTATCAGTGGGTGTTGTTGGTGTTGACGTGTTTGTGGATGGAATGCTCGTGAATGTTGCTGGTGTGTGATCAGTAGTGGATGTTTGGATTTGTCCAGTTGATGATATTGGTGAAGTGTCAAAAGAAGTAGTTGTGCTCACTTGTGGAACTGTTGTAGAGGTATCTTTTAAACAAAAATTAGAGTGTAGAATTAACCAGCAGTTTGGCATTGTTTGTTATTTATCACATCTAACTATGAGTAATTAATTATCAGTGGTGATATTAGCCTGTTCAAAACGATTCCAGCTTCCCATACTTGTCACTAATCTGTTACCGAAAAACATGTGTACTAATAATAGTGTATGTATGTTCTGATACATACATGAAGGCAAGAAATAAAATTCAATGACGGAATCTCAATATTTGAGGGATGAATGAAATTCAAGATTACTGTCAACAAGTTTTAAAGTCAGAGTGTTCATCACAAACAACAAGAAATTTCGGTTGCGCTCAGCTGAAATTTGCAGAACTACTACAACCATCCTGAATAGAGCACATGTATTTATAAACAATTGTCTACGCAAGATGCTCAATATCCGTTGAACGGATACCATCAACAAAAGCTCACTACAGAAAAGAAAATATCAGCTTCCGGTTAAAGAGGAACTTAAAAATAGGCGTTGGAATTAGATAGGTCATGCATTGCGGAAATCAATAAACTTCATCGTGGCGCTACCGCCAACAAGGAATCCTGAAGTGAAACGGAAAAGAGGATGACTGGGAAACAGATTGTATAGGGAATCAGAGGATGTTGGGAACGTCAGATTCACAGATTTCACTTGGAAAAAATCCATTTTGCAATTTTATTTAGAAAATTTGAATTTCTTTGTTTTTGCGACAAAGGCACTCTTTTCACCTTTGTGTCGTATTTCCCACTTGGGAGAATTTTAAATACCATTGGTCCGTTGTGTCTTTTAATATGCTATTTGGTAAATCTCTCCAAGGTCGGTTTGTGCTGCATATATACGTTCTGATTTGTGTTTGTTGTTACCTCCCGTTTCCAGCCGTTTGCGGAATATACTTCCCCTATTCCAAGCTTGGATTTCTTCCTCTAGTTAGCGGGGCTGGGATGCATCGAATAGCTAGCTTATTGGTTTTGGTCACCGTGTCTTTGTTCTGTTCGCGGTATAGGTGAACTCGTGATCGCTTCGAATCTAGCAAGTTTTTGGTGAGAGGTACAAAATAGCACACAGCGGACGAATGGCATCAAACTTCATCATGAAGCTACCGTCAACATGGAATCCTGAAGTGAAACGGAAAAGAGGATGACTGATAAACACATTGTGTCGTGAATTAGAAGTAGACATTAAAAGGATGTGTTATAACGTGTGATCCGCCTATTAGAGAACAGCGTATTATCGATCAAAACACTGACGCATAAAATTCGAGCGAGCAGCCTAGAGTTCTGATTGGCCGTGCTTCCCTGTCTAGCCCAGCCAGTTGAGTCCAGAACACAAGTCTCAGCCTCGGTGATATGAATCATTATATTTCAAACATAAACTGTTTATATACCAAACAAACAGACTACATCGTACCATAAAATAGAAAGTAACATTTGTACAAGATTTAACCTTCAGGAAATGACACAAATAAATATTCACCAATAAGGAAATCACACATTGAAAGAATGTTGACCAATGGGGAAATGACACTATTTCTCATTCAGGAATAGCATCAGATAATATCTGGGGTATTTTCTGAATACCCCAACAGGATGAATAACAAGTGGAAACAACTGGTGAGGATTGCGCAGAACAGAGTTCGATGGACGGCCTATTCTCATCCACGAGGGATAACTGGAGTGAAAATTTAATAAGTAATTGAGTAGGTAAGTGGGTAAATAAGTAAGTTAATGTGGTAGTGGCTAACAAATGCATACGTTCAGTTTGTTTTCTCTCTTGATTTGAGCCGTGATCTCATAGTTGCGAATCGTTTTTATTGGCTGAATGATCAGGTTGATTTCGATAGGTAAGTTTGAATATTTAAACATTGTTGTAAATAGTGACATAAGATACAATAATTACCCGGTATGTCTCAAGTGAAACAACAAAGTAACACATGTATGACATTCAACTAAGTGCGAAAACTCACAAATGAACGTACAGTATCAGTAATCAAAATCAAAGTTTCTGACAGAATTCATGAAGCTGAAACGAAACCACATGAGAACAGTGAACAACAACAGAAAAGTTAGAAAAATGACGCTTGATGTAAAGCCGACAAGAAATAAAGAAGAAAGTATACAACTGAATGAAGGAAGAAGGAACAAGCAAAATACACAGAAAGACCGACATGGAAAAAAGTAACAAGCGAGATATGATATAACGCCCACGTAAAGCAAATATTTGAACCGATACTGACAAACATCGTACATTGGTGTGTTACGAAAACACACGCATTGGAATCCGAAGTGGTTGAGTGAACTATTGACAATTTTCGCATCATAACTCAGTCATTTTGACGAAATCACTCAATAGAGTATGCTCCAGTGTGCACACCCACTCAACGTTTTCCATGCTCAACTCTAAACCTCCAGTAACCAACCGCCATCCACACCGATCACTACCACTAATGCACACAATATTACTTCATCATTCAAAATATGAAGTGTTTGTGTGCGTGTGTGAATCAGTAATGGACTGTGCTTGCATATGTGTGGACGTGACGAAAAAACAAAGCACAAATACAATAAATAACTGAGTATATACATAACACTGAATGCAATACATTTACCAATGTGTTTTCTCGTCACATGTCAGTTATCAATTGGTTTCAATTATCTGCTGTATGTTGTTCGCTACTCTAAAATCTTCTACTTTATTTTCAATATTTCACTTAAGGTGTATTTGGATTAGTGATTCACATCATTAAATTTCTATTTCATATCACACTTGTAGGTACCTAATAAATATATGCTTTTGTCTATACCCTGAAATATACTAGTACATTTTGAATAAATAATATATTTGTAATATCCCAATGAACAGAAAAATTAGATTTTCTTACGTTTCGTGTCTCATTGGGATATTACAAATTTATTATTTATTTATTTATAACAATATACCCAATGCTCAATTTATTCGAAATTATCAAATCAAATCTTGGTAATGATACCTACCAGTGCGATGGTTAAATGCTAAGATTTCAATAGAATAATGAACTCACTATTAATTTCTAAATTAGATAATCGCACTCCAAACGATGTGTTTAATTGACTGATACCAGAACTTATGATTTGTGTAATTGATGTTGAGTTCAACACTGCAGCTTCAGGAGACGAAATCTGTACATTTGCTGTTCCCTGAACACCTTGAGTTGTATTTTGGTCTGAGCTCCCATTTGTGTTTATCTGTCGCTTCTGACGGATTACCAAGTCAACTGGTGTGAAGAGAACATTGACACACTTTGCATTGTCTGAGAATGATGGCCGTCCAAGTTTCAAACCTTGTAAAAGCTGAAAGTGTATATAAGTAACACATGAAATAATAAATGAATCACCGATTCTATGATTGATTACATAAGCGAAAATGGAAGACTCACAACATTCAACTGGAACAATGATGAACGACTATTACTTTAGTTCATTAGTCTTTTGTGGTAATCTATGAACAAAAATACCGTAAACATGATGTCAGTGAAATAGTCACACATTCTCCCACATCTCGTAGAAGTGACTTCAAATCCAAACTCATTGTCTGACAGGTTAGAAATGCAAAATTACGTTATCAACTGATTGTGATTTTGTTCAACTTTACGTCCAGTTTCAATTCAACATGATGGTATAATGTATTCTTTATTTTATTTTCAGTGTGATATTATGTTTCAGCAAAAGTTTTTTCCAGATTCTTTATGTTAGTTCAGTACTAAATTCGTTCAGTATGCTGTGTAGTTTGGATTTTTGTAGTAGTTCTATGTACTTCCCTTATCTGCGCAAATTGTTATGTAATCATCGAGTGTGAGTAAGAGCAATATATAAATGAGTCGATCTATGCATCATTTCGATTTAATTTGGGGATCAAATATATTCTTATCTATCGCCTTCATGTTGCTACTTATGTCGACCGAACGACCATTTCCAGTACCAAGTACTATATTTGCTCACTCAGTGATTTATTAATAGTATTTATTTCCAGACGTTACCTAACACCATCTCACTCACCAAATTGCAAAACGATGTTGCCAGATTGATGTAAGCTGTGGTGGATGTATCCGCCAAGTCAGATGACCAGTAGTGAGGTGTGCTTTCATTATCGGTGAAAAGCACCGCTTTCACTTGGAATGTTGAGGCTGTAGAAGTATAAAGAAAAAAGATGAAGTTGTATAATATTCGTATTGGGCTTTAATGACATTGAAACAACGCAGAGTTCGATATATTTAAGCTAATAACAGAAAAACTTGCTAAATTCTCAATTTTGATTTCATATTTATTAAGACATTTGGATCAAGTTCGATTCAGTTAGACGAATTAAACTTCACAGATAACTTAGCTCTTCCTTCGGATAACCACGAAAAATCGGGATCAAGACAAACAGTGTAACAGCAGGGTCCGCATCAACAGGCCTCAACACACATTAGAGAAAAAGCAAGCTTCTCCAATATAACACAGAGAATATCAAAGGAATCAGATTAAATGTAGAAAATCTGGAAGCCGACTAGCATCGTTGATGAATAAGGAGGATTTGAATGCAGATGTAAAGCTACGATATGTCAATTCAGTGGTTGTATTTCTACACTTGAAGAACACATTGAAATAAAAATAACTATTAACCAAAATCAATGTAAGAACCTTCAATTAGATCAAGAATACAGTTGACGTTTACGAAAAGGAATATTACAAAAATACTACGACAACCAATGAATATAAAAAAGTATCAACACAAGAAGTTAAAAGTAATTAAAGGAATAGCTTCAGAAAAATGGTCACAAAAATCCTACACAAACTAAAGATAACACGATCACTTGCACAAGAAGACTTGAACAAGCACACAGCAAGCCAATATAATAACCGCAAATAACCACTTTATTCTTTGTCTACTTGCCTTAATTTATGTATGAATGTGATTGAGCGCATGTCTGCACATCGATCTTTAATCTATTCTCTCAATAGTTGTAACACATAGAAAATCAATAATTTATCCACAACCAATTAATTAAAACTCATAAAAATATATATGGATTTTTAACACTCACATGCACTCAAACGTTACCCTATGTGTTTGCATTCGGTACGTATGCGTATTTGAAAAAAATATTTGCCAATAAGCTACCACTATAACTGGTGTTTGGGTATTTGAATAATCTTGAGTAAATCCATAATTTTACTAGGAGATTTAGCATGCGTTAAATATTTAGTTAAGGGGATACTATTTATTAGAGTCAGGTATAGAGAAAATTAATCTTTATAAAGTTGATGAGTCGTATTTAGAACAAGCATTTCTTTAAGACGTTTGCTGCATATTCTTTAATCCTATCATAAAAAAAAAACTTCACGTTGAAATTACCATAATGTTTATATTAAAAAATTCATTAACAATCATAACAGTCATTCATAAGATTATTCTTTTGGAATTATCGTTGTATATTAGCATATTTAAACTGGAAGAGATAGATTTTGAGGTGAGTCTCTCATATATATTTCTTGTTGTTATTTCCTCATATTGTATATTTCAATCGTCAGCTTATTATTGTTACAATTCTTATTGCTTTTTTGTATCATGTCACTTGATAGTTTTTCAAGCCTTTCATTTAAGTTTATTTCTGTGGATGCCATCTCTGTACCTTTAGCTGTTTTTAAACGTTGAAAGGTTGAACTCTGGTTTGCACACTAAGAAAGCATTTTTGTTGTAAAAAGAATTACATGTTAGTGCACAGAATTTATTTATGCAAACATTATGCTGCTGGACAATGTTACTGAGCAAGTGCCTGACGTCATTTTTAAGCCGGATCCAGACTCACCATACGATTACCTAAAACGGGAGGTCATTCATGTTATATCTCTCACCGACCGGCAGAAAACTGATCAACTTTTAGCAAATGTTGAGCTAGGTAGCAACACACAGTCTCAATTAAAACTCCACAAGACAAATGTATTGGGGAATCATATAGTAACTAAACGTCTATTATATCAGTTGTTGGTCACATGTCGCCTGCCATACATCCGATAGATACTAGCGATTGGTACCACACATGCAAAAAACTTGAATGACGAGATCGCTAGTTATGATAAACAGTCGACGTTCTCAATAAGTAAACACCCCCGATCCAGTTTTTGAATACCTGCCACTGCAAGTGTAGAGGAAGGTCCAGAAGCCGTAGACGTCATAGTTTATGAACCACTGATAAAACATTTGTTGTTACCATGGGACAAACGGTAAACAATCCAAAAAGTGCAGTTCTCACTGTAACTTTGTAAGCAAACGGCAAGGGAAACGTTGAGGCCGATGATTAGTGACGACTGCTGTTGCCGGCCACAACTCTTAAGACAGTCGTTTGTTATATATTCCAGACAAAAGGACTGAGACAAAGTTATTAATTGACACCGGGGTAGAGGTTGATGTAACGCCACCTGCTATACTTAAGAAAGACAAACCTGACAAGAAACTGAGACTGCAAGCTGTGAATAGATTTGAGTTCAATAAATACGGTAAATGGCAGTTACAACTACATGTCGGTCCCAAATCCAACATTTCATGGAGCTTCATATTAGCCGACGTCCTTATTCCCATAATCATCGTTGATTTATCGCATTCGCACTAAATACTTATAGACGTTGGAAACCAGAAACGCGTACTTGACGATCATAGCAGTGAGATCGGAGGAATTATATCTAACGAGAATGACAAATACATCGATTTACTTAGTCGGTTCCCGGAGTTATTACGACTGAGTTTCAAACGTGACAAACCGACACACACCGCCGTACACCACATTAAGACAGGGACCATCGGTGTTTGCATGTTCGAGATGCCTCTTTCAAAAGCGAACTCAACAGGATGGTAGAGTTGGGTATCACACTCCCCTCGGACATAATCGGTCTATATAGTACCTAAGAAAAACCCTTCTGAGGCTAAGCCTTGTGGCGAATATAGAGCTCTTAACAGCCGGACTATACCAGATAGACATCCTCTTCCACATTTACATGACTACTCATAGTCCGTCTGATGTTACGATTTTTTCAAAGGTTGATCTCGTCCGTGCCTACCATCACATTTCAATGCAACAGGACGATGTTACCAAAACAGCTATCACTACCCAATTTGGGCTATACGAATTCGTCCGTTTGCCATTTGGATTGAGTAATGCTGCACAAAGTCCCCAGAGTTTCATTGATCAAGTGGTACGTGATTTGACTATTGTATGTGCTTACATAGATGACTTACTTATCGCTAGCAAAGATGAAAGTGAACATCTAATCCTAGAAGATAAACGAATAGTGTTATCAATCAAATCCTGACAAGTGTGAGTTTCGGAAACAATTCCCCAGCTTTTTAGGCCACGTACTTGATTAACAAGGTATCAGACCAGTTCCTGGGGAAACACAAGCCATCAAAAATTATCCTCTATCCAACTCATTCAAGAAACTAAGACGTTTTATTCCAGAAGATGCTGACATCGAAACCGCTAACCAATTTATCAAGGGGACGCTCTAAGTCATTAATGATAACACCGCAAGCAATTCAAGCACTTAAACAATTGAAAAGCTCCTTAAGCACTGAGGCATTGCTGGTACGACAAAAAATTGATGCAAATTTAGCAGTAGTGATCGAAGCTTCTAGTTTTACAGCAGATGGTGTACTTCAGTAACGTGTCAATCAGCAATGATAACTCATTTTTCCCGAAAAGCTAAACGCGAAACAAACAAAATATAGCAATTTCAGTAGAGAACTGTTGGTTGTTTATTTAGCCATCAAACACTTCCGGTATATGTTAGAAGGCAATTGGTATACAATATTTACGGATCACAAACCTCTTACTAAATCCTTGATACACAATCATGTTGAATATAGTCAACTAGAAATCATCTTGCTAAATAAAAGGCAAGGAAAACGATGTAACAGACGCATTATAGAGATTAAATATCAATAACTTCTCAATCCCTGATATGAGCTACCAAGATATCGCGAAACATCAAAAGGTTGACCTGAAGCCAGAAAATCTATTGTAGTTCCAAAATATCTTTACAAAAGGGAAGGACACTGTGAAGCTTATTACAGTTAGATTTATATGGCCAAAATTAAATAAACATTTACGAAAATGGTCACAGGAATTCATCCAATGCCGAAAGTCAAAAGTCCACGGGCACATCATATTACCCATATAAATTTTTCTTGTCGCTAGCTCTAGGTTCTATCACATTCATGTCGATATTGTTGGACCATTATCAATTTTCAATGGTTATACGCATATACTAACATGTACAAAAATATTCACGAGATGGCCCATAGCCGTCCCGCTAAATGATACGTCGACATCAACATTGGCAAAGAAATGAGTGAAACACTGAGTTGCGAACTTTGGAGTCCGAACAACAATTCTTACCGACTGTGGAGCCCAGCCTGTGGGCAAACTAATTCAACAAATCACAGATACCTTAGGTATACAGAGGATTTGAACCACAGTTTATCATCCGAATACCAACGGAATGATAGAAATGTTCGATCAACGGTTAAAAATCTCTTTGAGGGCCACAGGGGGATACTACAAACGGGATGTCAAACTACCTTTGATACTATTAGGCATTCGCTCAACTATTAAACAAGACATCGGTTGTTGTGCTGCTGAGTTGGTCAGTCGAACGACATTACGTTTGCCTGGTGAATTCTTTGATCGTGCAACAGATATTCAAGCATATATAACTAACTATGTGCAATGATCAAAACAGCAGATGGAACACATCAGGTCTGTTGAACAAAGATCCCAGAAGGTGAGATCACCCGTATCAGTTGGATAAGACAAACGCTCATATACGTTCTTCAGAAATAATAGAGTACGGCAGCCTCTACAGACGCCTTACGATGGATCTTTTAAAATCATCCGAAAAAGTGGATAAACAGTTATGGTAGAATAAGCAGGTAAACATGACACTTTTACCATCGGCAGAGTAAAGCCAGAGTTTTAAGAGTACACCGAAAAACAGACAACAGTAAACTTGACCTAATCTTCAGCAGAGCAAGTATCACACAAACTACCAACAACAAGCAATACTTCATGTCGACGATGAGCAGCAGCAGAAACTACAACAAAGTCAGGAAGAAGAGTATACCAGTCATATAAGTTAGTAGCAACTATCATATTTATCTAAACCAAGTACTAAGAATATTCTTACGGCACAATTTTCCGTAAATGATCTTTATTTTCATTAACTATTATTTATAGGCCACACAGATTTTCAACGAAAACAAGACGACATTTCAACTGAACGCTTACATATATAGAGAGTTGTATATGTATATTACAAATAAAATTATCATCTCCTTGTCGAGCATAGATATTATTGAAATATATTTTTATAAAACAACATCAATGGACTGGAAAGGAGCTTATTTAGTATACCCGATTAACTATTGTATTATTTGTACAGTCTCATTCATTAGGAAATATATTACGAATTGTAAGTTTATTTTCAACAGTGATTGAGCACAAGACAGTGAATCAAGGTTAAATCAGGTTTCCCATTAAAAAAACACACAGAAAATCAATAGCTTATCCAAAACCAAATGAAGAACATGAATATGAAAAGAATATTCATTGTAACACATAGTTTCAAAAATTTCCAATAATGAATAAGCTATTAAAATATAGCGCTCACGCAATAAAATCAAGAGAATGTAAAATAAGAAGTAAAAAGAAGAAAACACACAATTACTCTCACCATGTATCACCCTGTATCTCACAAATATGCATGTTGGCCACACCGATCACCACACACAATGCATGCACACATGTACACAAATTGTCAACACACCAAATACACAAGTGCAATGAATGATGAGCATTAATTACACAAGTGTGAAATCACAGCACAAATACATCATGGAATGCAACAAATTATCGATTGAACTCACTAGTGACGACTGATGAATCGGTGTGTGGTTCAGTTGGAGTAGATGATGTTGTCGATTCAGGTGGTTGACTGGACACTTCGGACGGAATGTGCGTACTGGTTTGCGAAGTGGATGATGACTCGGTTGTGTGATCCGATGCCATACCTAATGTGTGTATGCAAACAAACAGTTCACATTGAACGTGTGGTTAATATTGTGTGAGCAAATGCAACAGGTGCACACATTTCCATCACACTGGTCATCTTAACAACACTGACATTTTGAAAAACACTCGAAATCAATCACACACGCAAACACATACACACAGACATACACACACACACACACACTCACCCACTGCAAGTGACATCCTCTCACAATTGTGCATGCACACAACACGTGTCGCAGCATCACACCACATCAGTTTGTAAGGAACACGTCTCTCACTGCATTCAGTTGTTCAGTCAACCACTCGTTCCTCATTCGACTGATGAGACATTGAATTTCATTGAGAACACGTGTTCACATGCAAGAGAGTGGAGATGTTCGTGTTTGTGTTTGTGTTTGTGTTGTGTTGGTGTTGATGTTGGTGTTCGAGTTCTCGTACACAACACGAGTGTACTGAAATTGTCTCGGCACCATGTGACCAAGTGAATGAGGTCAGTGTTGAGAGGTGATTTGTTGGTATGACACAGACTGGTCAACTCACCATCAACACCTCCACATCTCACTTGATCCACCACTATTCAACCACCGACAAATCCACTTGTACACACAACGCATGTCACCCGACTCATTGCACTGTCTCACTCACTTCACTCAACCAAACTCTACACACAAATTGTCACAAGCTGTCCACTCTCACTCACTCTCCCACTCATCTCTCAATCTCTCAATCTCTCACTCTCACTCACACTCACACTCACACTCACACTCTTACTCTCTACATGTATCACCCTGTATCTCACAAATATGCATGTTGGCCACACCGATCACCACACACAATGCATGCACACATGTACACAAATTGTCAACACACCAAATACACAAGTGCAATGAATGATGAGCATTAATTACACAAGTGTGAAATCACAGCACAAATACATCATGGAATGCAACAAATTATCGATTGAACTCACTAGTGACGACTGATGAATCGGTGTGTGGTTCAGTTGGAGTAGATGATGTTGTCGATTCAGGTGGTTGACTGGACACTTCGGACGGAATGTGCGTACTGGTTTGCGAAGTGGATGATGACTCGGTTGTGTGATCCGATGCCATACCTAATGTGTGTATGCAAACAAACAGTTCACATTGAACGTGTGGTTAATATTGTGTGAGCAAATGCAACAGGTGCACACATTTCCATCACACTGGTCATCTTAACAACACTGACATTTTGAAAAACACTCGAAATCAATCACACACGCAAACACATACACACAGACATACACACACACACACCCACACACTCACCCACTGCAAGTGACATCCTCTCACAATTGTGCATGCACACAACACGTGTCGCAGCATCACACCACATCAGTTTGTAAGGAACACGTCTCTCACTGCATTCAGTTGTTCAGTCAACCACTCGTTCCTCATTCGACTGATGAGACATTGAATTTCATTGAGAACACGTGTTCACATGCAAGTGAGTGGAGATGTTCGTGTTTGTGTTTGTGTTTGTGTTTGTGTTGTGTTGGTGTTGATGTTGGTGTTCGAGTTCTCGTACACAACACGAGTGTACTGAAATTGTCTCGGCACCATGTGACCAAGTGAATGAGGTCAGTGTTGAGAGGTGATTTGTTGGTATGACACAGACTGGTCAACTCACCATCAACACCTCCACATCTCACTTGATCCACCACTATTCAACCACCGACAAATCCACTTGTACACACAACGCATGTCACCCGACTCATTGCACTGTCTCACTCACTTCACTCAACCAAACTCTACACACAAATTGTCACAAGCTGTCCACTCTCACTCACTCTCCCACTCATCTCTCAATCTCTCAATCTCTCACTCTCACTCACACTCACACTCACACTCACACTCTTACTCTCTACATGTATCACCCTGTATCTCACAAATATGCATGTTGGCCACACCGATCACCACACACAATGCATGCACACATGTACACAAATTGTCAACACACCAAATACACAAGTGCAATGAATGATGAGCATTAATTACACAAGTGTGAAATCACAGCACAAATACATCATGGAATGCAACAAATTATCGATTGAACTCACTAGTGACGACTGATGAATCGGTGTGTGGTTCAGTTGGAGTAGATGATGTTGTCGATTCAGGTGGTTGACTGGACACTTCGGACGGAATGTGCGTACTGGTTTGCGAAGTGGATGATGACTCGGTTGTGTGATCCGATGCCATACCTAATGTGTGTATTGTTATGATTTGATGTCCGGCTTACGATCACGTGACTTATACACCAATCAGAATACGTCTTATACGAATATTCGCACTATGACAAGGCCAATGACGTTCAACCGGTCTGAGCAGTCTAGCGTCCTATTGGGTCCTACGTCCTTCTAACCTGTCCTCTTGAGTCCAGAACACAAAAGCAGCTTCCGAATCAACCAAATCATTTATTTCAGACATACTCGGTTTATATATCAATCAGGCAGACCACAACGTACCATAAAATAGAAAATAACATATGTACACAAATAGGCCAAAAAGTGACTGTGAATGTGGGAGACAGTAATTAATAGACAGGTTATAACTCAAGAATAATAAATCGTATAGTAATAATCTATGGGTCAAAATAAAGCTTATAATAAGTGGAATATAAATACACATAATGTAATTCTTGAATAATTATACAATAAGAATATTTATAGAATATTAGTCCATTAATAGTCCTCGAAAGTTACCTGTAGTTTAATCTTCACTGGTATATAACACCTCCCTTTTTTTTTTTGAAGCATTAGAGATAATAACGATCCTTAGGATTTATTTTTATTCGATTAGGTTTCCGCCTGATACGCTGCGACCTCCTGGGGAGTGTTGTATGTGTCCTGTTATTTTTCGGGTCATTTTTAATTTCATTATCCGACTCAGTTAATATATTTATTGGTATACTCGACTTTATATCATTTCCTGTCTCCCGCTCCTGTCTGGTTGGCTGCATCTGGTTTGCGTGTCGCACCCATATCTTTCGTCCAACTTTTACTTCATAGATAACCTTCCCTTTTCTTCGTATTATGATGCCAAACTTCCAGGTTGGCTTTACTCCCGCGAAATCTCTTGCTATTACGGCTTGTCCCACCTTAAAGCTTCTGGGCAATGCACCATGTCGCTTGTTGAATTGCTGTTCCATTCGTTTGTTCTTGCGGAGTTTGGCTGTAGGTTTTGGTTTCATTTGCTCTATAGGTATTCTAATCTTTCTCCCAAAAATTGCTTCTGCTGGACTTTCTTGATTATTTGTTGTTGGGTTGGGTGTTGCTCTGTAGGTTTGTAGAAATCTTTGGATAATCTCTTCTATTTCCCCTTCTCCTTCGGCTTTAAGCAGTGCTCTTTTAAACGTATCGACGAACCTCTCCACTAGACCATTTGACTGCGGATGGTATGGGGGTGTCTTTATATGCCTGACGGTGTTTGCGACACAGAACTTCGAGAATTCAGCAGAGGTAAATTGTGGTCCATTATCAGACACCAGTACATCTGGACACCCAAAGCAACTGAATACTTGTCTCAGTTTTTCGATAGTAGCTTTTGTCGAAAGAGACTTCATGCAGTGGATCTCTGGCCATTTTGAGAAGGCATCAACAATCACCAAGTACTGTTTCCCGTTAATGGGACCTGCGAAATCCACATGTACTCTCGACCACGGATTTTCTGGTGTCCCCCAACTCTGCATTTCTGTCTTGCGAGGGGCTTTGATAGCTTTTGCACACGCGGAACATCTCTCAACATAGTCTTTGATCTGAGCGTCAATATTCGGCCAATATACATACCCACGTGCAAGTGCCTTCATCCGTGCTATCCCTGGGTGTGCAGCATGCAGTTCTGACATCACCTTACGGCGTAAGTTTGAAGGTACAATTACTCGATTTCCAAACATCAAGCACCCATCCACAAGTGATAGAGAATTTCGACGGTGAGAATACTGTTCAATATTTTTGTTGTCTATATGGGTAGGCCAACCATGTTCGAGGTATCGAATAATCTGCCTCAGCTCATCGTCTTCTTGAGTATGGTGTTTAATGTCTTCAGAGGATAACGGTGTTGCTTTTATGGCAACTTGTAGTATATGATGAACATCATTTTCCAACGATATCGTCGCGATAATAGAATCTTCGCTTTCTTGCTTCTGATTCGCAATTAATCTGGATAAAGCATCAGCTTGTCCAAACTTTTCAGTTGATTTATATAGGATTTGGAAATCGTAAGCAAGCAACGTAATAGCCCAGCGTTGTAATCGATTCGCTGTATATGCAGGAATACCTGACTTCGATCCAAATATAGATAAAAGCGGCTTGTGGTCCGTTAAGAGAGTAAATCGACGACCATAAATCATTTTATGGAATTTCTTTACTGCAAAAACTAAAGCTAGTCCTTCCTTCTCAATCTGACTATATTTTCGCTCAGCTGAGTTAAGAGTTCGGGATACATGAGCAATTGGCTTTTCTTTACCATCAGGAAAATGATGGCTGATAACAGCTCCAATTCCATAGTTTGAAGCATCGGCGGCTACAATTATTTCAAGCTTAGGATTATAATGAGTCAGCAACAATTTAGAAGATAAAATCCTTTTTATTTCATCGAAAGAATCTTGACATTCCTTTGTCCAGTTCCATGTTGCATTAGCCATCAAGAGTTGATTTAATGGATGTCGTAATTTATACATATGGGGTACGAACATACTATAATAACCAATCATCCCCAAAAATGAGCGAAGAGTTGTAACCTCAGTCGGTCTGGGCATATTTTTGATGGCATTAATATTATCTGGATCTGGTCGACGACCATTTTTATCAAATATATATCCAAGGTACTTGACAGACTCGAGCTGAAGTTCACACTTTTCTTTTTGTAACTGAAAACCGGCTTGTGATATTTTTGTGAGCACCACATCTAACCGACCCATTAATTCCTGCACAGAAGAGCCAACAACTATAATGTCATCCAAATAAACTGCTACACCTTCGACGTTAGACACCATAGTATCCATTATTTGCTGGAAAATTGCTGGGGCTGGCTTAACACCAAACGGTAATCGGTTAAACCGATAGAGTCCGCGGTGGGTATTAATGGTTAATAACTCCTTTGAATCTTCGTCAACTTCTACTTGTAAATAAGCTTCAGACAAATCAAGTTTAGAAAAATAACGTCCACCGTTCAGTTTAATAAATAAATCCTCTGGCAGAGGTAATGGGTATGAATGACTTTGTAGAGCGTTATTTAGTCCTGTTGAAAAATCTGCACAGAGGCGAATAGCTCCGTTCGCTTTCTGAACCACTACAATTGGTGCTGCCCATGCCGAATAATTGATAGGTTGTATAACACCGAGCTTCTCTAGTCGGTCTAATTCTTTGTCGACTTTGTCAATAGCAGCATATGGGACTTGACGTTTTGGACGGAAAACAGGTTTTGCATCCTGTCGTACGTATAATTTTGCCTTCTCAATTGTGCAGCATCCCAGTTTATTCTGGAACAAGTTTTTATGCTTCTGCAAAAGATCTTCTATCGTTACCACTTTCTTAGTTACATGGACTGTGGGTGGATCGCTAGGATTATTTGCGCTTTCCATCGAACATATTTCACTTAATGGTACATCCCATAAATTTAATTTATCTATCCAGTCTATACCAATAAGGTCTAATTCATGTCTGTTCGTTAAGTAACAATTTCCTGTAAAGTAATTACCTCTGAATTTAACAGAACATTTTATCATTCCAACAAGTTTTAATATATCTCCGGACGCATTCCGTGCAGTGTGCTCTGTTGGTAATACTTTCGGACACCCAATTAAATCCCACGTTCGTTTCGAGATCAGTGTGATATCGGACGCTGTGTCCAATTGCAATCGAACAAGAACACCATTAACCATTAATTCCACATATCTTCTTTTATCAGCTACGCTTAGAGCCAGTGTGGAATATATACTGTTTATATACTTATTTTGGTACTGGTGAGGACGCCTGGTTTGTTTCGATCTCAAACTTTCTTTGGTTCGGCAGACTGTTTCTTTGTGGCCAACTTTATTGCATATAGTGCATTTATGATTTTTAAACCGACAAAATCTTGAGAAATGCCACGCACCACAATACCAACATTTAGTTGCAGGTTTAGGAGTTTTCGAGTGATATTTATGACTTTTGGTGCTATTTTGTCTTTGACTTGTCTTGACAGCATGAACAGAATTTGATGGCGCTGCACTTTTAGTTTCCAGCATAGCTGTATCTTGTTTTAAGTTTATTAATCGTTGACATTCAGTGGTGATAGTTTGTAACGTCATTTCATCATCATGTTCCATACGGGATAACAATTTCATGCGAAAATCAGCATCAACAGGAGAGTTTAGACCAGAAATGAATAATAAACATTTAAATTGATCACTGGTTAATACATTTAATTTAAATCGTTCTGCTTGCAAATTTACTCTTCCGGCGTACGTAGTGTAATCTTCATCAGCCTCTTTAGTCAGCTGTAGACAATTATACCGGATACGGAACAAGGACGCCTGTTCACAAAACATTTTATTTAGGATGTTAACAGTTTCTTCGAAACTAACTTCTCGTGGGTGTTTAGGCAGGATATGGTTTTTATACTTTTGATGCTCGTTGGGACCAAGCTTCTGTAAGAGCAGCCGGACTTTCCTTGCGTCATCCATAGCAGCAAATTCCACTCGGAAAATATCTTCGATTCTGCCAAACCATGCTTCAAAAGTGTGACCATTGTCTGCATCAAATATAAATTCCGAAACTGAATTAAGATATGACTCGATACTTTTATGTTCTGGATTATCTTGTTGAATAGATAGCTTCCCCAAAAGTGTTTCTAGCAGTTTCTGTTGAGAAGCTAGAATTTGCTGTTGTTGTTGCTGCTGTTGTTGTTGAAATTCTTGTTGCTGTTGCTGCTGCTGCTGTAATAATAACTGCAACTGTTCAAAAGAAATCGCCATATATTTATTTTTTTTTTACTGCTAATAATAATAATTCCAAAAAAAAATAACACCGGCAATTATTACAGATTATTTCTTTTCAAGATCTGAGTCACCAATTGTTGTATTATTTTTTTCGTGCCAAAATCCCCGTCGCCAATTTGTTATGATTTGATGTCCGGCTTACGATCACGTGACTTATACACCAATCAGAATACGTCTTATACGAATATTCGCACTATGACAAGGCCAATGACGTTCAACCGGTCTGAGCAGTCTAGCGTCCTATTGGGTCCTACGTCCTTCTAACCTGTCCTCTTGAGTCCAGAACACAAAAGCAGCTTCCGAATCAACCAAATCATTTATTTCAGACATACTCGGTTTATATATCAATCAGGCAGACCACAACGTACCATAAAATAGAAAATAACATATGTACACAAATAGGCCAAAAAGTGACTGTGAATGTGGGAGACAGTAATTAATAGACAGGTTATAACTCAAGAATAATAAATCGTATAGTAATAATCTATGGGTCAAAATAAAGCTTATAATAAGTGGAATATAAATACACATAATGTAATTCTTGAATAATTATACAATAAGAATATTTATAGAATATTAGTCCATTAATAGTCCTCGAAAGTTACCTGTAGTTTAATCTTCACTGGTATATAACATGTATGCAAACAAACAGTTCACATTGAACGTGTGGTTAATATTGTGTGAGCAAATGCAACAGGTGCACACATTTCCATCACACTGGTCATCTTAACAACACTGACATTTTGAAAAACACTCGAAATCAATCACACACGCAAACACATACACACAGACATACACACACACACACACACACACTCACCCACTGCAAGTGACATCCTCTCACAATTGTGCATGCACACAACACGTGTCGCAGCATCACACCACATCAGTTTGTAAGGAACACGTGTCTCACTGCATTCAGTTGTTCAGTCAACCACTCGTTCCTCATTCGACTGATGAAACATTGAATTTCATTGAGAACACGTGTTCACATGCAAGTGAGTGGAGATGTTCGTGTTTGTGTTTGTGTTTGTGTTGTGTTGGTGTTGATGTTGGTGTTCGAGTTCTCGTACACAACACGAGTGTACTGAAATTGTCTCGGCACCATGTGACCAAGTGAATGAGGTCAGTGTTGAGAGGTGATTTGTTGGTATGACACAGACTGGTCAACTCACCATCAACACCTCCACATCTCACTTGATCCACCACTATTCAACCACCGACAAATCCACTTGTACACACAACGCATGTCACCCGACTCATTGCACTGTCTCACTCACTTCACTCAACCAAACTCTACACACAAATTGTCACAAGCTGTCCACTCTCACTCACTCTCCCACTCATCTCTCAATCTCTCACTCTCACTCACACTCACAATCACACTCACAATCACACTCACACTCACGCTAACACTCACACTCTTACTCTCTACATGTATCACCCTGTATCTCACAAATATGCATGTTGGCCACACCGATCACCACACACAATGCATGCACACATGTACACAAATTGTCAACACACCAAATACACAAGTGCAATGAATGATGAGCATTAATTACACAAGTGTGAAATCACAGCACAAATACATCATGGAATGCAACAAATTATCGATTGAACTCACTAGTGACGACTGATGAATCGGTGTGTGGTTCAGTTGGAGTAGATGATGTTGTCGATTCAGGTGGTTGACTGGACACTTCGGACGGAATGTGCGTACTGGTTTGCGAAGTGGATGATGACTCGGTTGTGTGATCCGATGCCATACCTAATGTGTGTATGCAAACAAACAATTCACATTGAACGTGTGGTTAATATTGTGTGAGCAAATGCAACAGGTGCACACATTTCCATCACACTGGTCATCTTAACAACACTGACATTTTGAAAAACACTCGAAATCAATCACACACGCAAACACATACACACAGACATACACACACACACACACCCACACACTCACCCACTGCAAGTGACATCCTCTCACAATTGTGCATGCACACAACACGTGTCGCAGCATCACACCACATCAGTTTGTAAGGAACACGTCTCTCACTGCATTCAGTTGTTCAGTCAACCACTCGTTCCTCATTCGACTGATGAAACATTGAATTTCATTGAGAACACGTGTTCACATGCAAGTGAGTGGAGATGTTCGTGTTTGTGTTTGTGTTTGTGTTGTGTTGGTGTTGATGTTGGTGTTCGAGTTCTCGTACACAACACGAGTGTACTGAAATTGTCTCGGCACCATGTGACCAAGTGAATGAGGTCAGTGTTGAGAGGTGATTTGTTGGTATGACACAGACTGGTCAACTCACCATCAACACCTCCACATCTCACTTGATCCACCACTATTCAACCACCGACAAATCCACTTGTACACACAACGCATGTCACCCGACTCATTGCACTGTCTCACTCACTTCACTCAACCAAACTCTACACACAAATTGTCACAAGCTGTCCACTCTCACTCACTCTCCCACTCATCTCTCAATCTCTCAATCTCTCACTCTCACTCACACTCACAATCACACTCACACTCACGCTCATACTCACGCTCACACTCACACTCTTACTCTCTACATGTATCACCCTGTATCTCACAAATATGCATGTTGGCCACACCGATCACCACACACAATGCATGCACACATGTACACAAATTGTCAACACACCAAATACACAAGTGCAATGAATGATGAGCATTAATTACACAAGTGTGAAATCACAGCACAAATACATCATGGAATGCAACAAATTATCGATTGAACTCACTAGTGACGACTGATGAATCGGTGTGTGGTTCAGTTGGAGTAGATGATGTTGTCGATTCAGGTGGTTGACTGGACACTTCGGACGGAATGTGCGTACTGGTTTGCGAAGTGGATGATGACTCGGTTGTGTGATCCGATGCCATACCTAATGTGTGTATGCAAACAAACAGTTCACATTGAACGTGTGGTTAATATTGTGTGAGCAAATGCAACAGGTGCACACATTTCCATCACACTGGTCATCTTAACAACACTGACATTTTGAAAAACACTCGAAATCAATCACACACGCAAACACATACACACAGACATACACACACACACACCCACACACTCACCCACTGCAAGTGACATCCTCTCACAATTGTGCATGCACACAACACGTGTCGCAGCATCACACCACATCAGTTTGTAAGGAACACGTGTCTCACTGCATTCAGTTGTTCAGTCAACCACTCGTTCCTCATTCGACTGATGAAACATTGAATTTCATTGAGAACACGTGTTCACATGCAAGAGAGTGGAGATGTTCGTGTTTGTGTTTGTGTTTGTGTTGTGTTGGTGTTGATGTTGGTGTTCGAGTTCTCGTACACAACACGAGTGTACTGAAATTGTCTCGGCACCATGTGACCAAGTGAATGAGGTCAGTGTTGAGAGGTGATTTGTTGGTATGACACAGACTGGTCAACTCACCATCAACACCTCCACATCTCACTTGATCCACCACTATTCAACCACCGACAAATCCACTTGTACACACAACGCATGTCACCCGACTCATTGCACTGTCTCACTCACTTCACTCAACCAAACTCTACACACAAATTGTCACAAGCTGTCCACTCTCACTCACTCTCCCACTCATCTCTCAATCTCTCAATCTCTCACTCTCACTCACACTCACAATCACACTCACACTCACGCTCATACTCACGCTCACACTCACACTCTTACTCTCTACATGTATCACCCTGTATCTCACAAATATGCATGTTGGCCACACCGATCACCACACACAATGCATGCACACATGTACACAAATTGTCAACACACCAAATACACAAGTGCAATGAATGATGAGCATTAATTACACAAGTGTGAAATCACAGCACAAATACATCATGGAATGCAACAAATTATCGATTGAACTCACTAGTGACGACTGATGAATCGGTGTGTGGTTCAGTTGGAGTAGATGATGTTGTCGATTCAGGTGGTTGACTGGACACTTCGGACGGAATGTGCGTACTGGTTTGCGAAGTGGATGATGACTCGGTTGTGTGATCCGATGCCATACCTAATGTGTGTATGCAAACAAACAGTTCACATTGAACGTGTGGTTAATATTGTGTGAGCAAATGCAACAGGTGCACACATTTCCATCACACTGGTCATCTTAACAACACTGACATTTTGAAAAACACTCGAAATCAATCACACACGCAAACACATACACACAGACATACACACACACACACCCACACACTCACCCACTGCAAGTGACATCCTCTCACAATTGTGCATGCACACAACACGTGTCGCAGCATCACACCACATCAGTTTGTAAGGAACACGTCTCTCACTGCATTCAGTTGTTCAGTCAACCACTCGTTCCTCATTCGACTGATGAGACATTGAATTTCATTGAGAACACGTGTTCACATGCAAGTGAGTGGAGATGTTCGTGTTTGTGTTTGTGTTTGTGTTGTGTTGGTGTTGATGTTGGTGTTCGAGTTCTCGTACACAACACGAGTGTACTGAAATTGTCTCGGCACCATGTGACCAAGTGAATGAGGTCAGTGTTGAGAGGTGATTTGTTGGTATGACACAGACTGGTCAACTCACCATCAACACCTCCACATCTCACTTGATCCACCACTATTCAACCACCGACAAATCCACTTGTACACACAACGCATGTCACCCGACTCATTGCACTGTCTCACTCACTTCACTCAACCAAACTCTACACACAAATTGTCACAAGCTGTCCACTCTCACTCACTCTCCCACTCATCTCTCAATCTCTCAATCTCTCACTCTCACTCACACTCACAATCACACTCACACTCACGCTCATACTCACGCTCACACTCACACTCTTACTCTCTACATGTATCACCCTGTATCTCACAAATATGCATGTTGGCCACACCGATCACCACACACAATGCATGCACACATGTACACAAATTGTCAACACACCAAATACACAAGTGCAATGAATGATGAGCATTAATTACACAAGTGTGAAATCACAGCACAAATACATCATGGAATGCAACAAATTATCGATTGAACTCACTAGTGACGACTGATGAATCGGTGTGTGGTTCAGTTGGAGTAGATGATGTTGTCGATTCAGGTGGTTGACTGGACACTTCGGACGGAATGTGCGTACTGGTTTGCGAAGTGGATGATGACTCGGTTGTGTGATCCGATGCCATACCTAATGTGTGTATGCAAACAAACAGTTCACATTGAACGTGTGGTTAATATTGTGTGAGCAAATGCAACAGGTGCACACATTTCCATCACACTGGTCATCTTAACAACACTGACATTTTGAAAAACACTCGAAATCAATCACACACGCAAACACATACACACAGACATACACACACACACACCCACACACTCACCCACTGCAAGTGACATCCTCTCACAATTGTGCATGCACACAACACGTGTCGCAGCATCACACCACATCAGTTTGTAAGGAACACGTCTCTCACTGCATTCAGTTGTTCAGTCAACCACTCGTTCCTCATTCGACTGATGAAACATTGAATTTCATTGAGAACACGTGTTCACATGCAAGTGAGTGG